AAGCTCAAAGCGAAAAGTGTTGATGATCTCACAGCACAAATGTTCTTCTATTTTTCTCCCACCAAATACTGCTGGGTCAAAATGTTTGGGGAAAACAAAACCTAGCACACACCAGTCCTGTTGGCATGGCATATCAACGGCCTCCTGCGGTCCCTGTGATGCTGCAGCCTAAGATCCTCACAAAGCCCTCTCACAGCTTTGGTTCCTTTCTTCTTCTCCCGCACCTTGAGCACTGACTGACTCCTCTCCAACCTCTTCTTTTGCAGATCATTTCTGCCACTGTGGACAACAACAGGATGCTTCTGGACATCGATAACAGCAAGATGACTGCCGATGACTTCCGAATGAAGTGAGTACCTCTCTGTGCATGTCTTCCCTGTCATGAATTTTATGAGATTCGTTAGCGTGGGAGATGATGCACCTTCCCAAGTAGAATGACAATGCCTACATGCTGTAGTGAAATTCATGCTTCTCTTTTCTGCGGTGAAAGGTATGAGAACGAACTGGTCATCCGTCAGACCGTGGAGTCTGATGTGAATGGTCTGAGAAATCTCCTGGATGAGCTGACCTACACACGCTCCTCACTGGAATCTGAGCTGGAGTCCCTGAAGGAGGAGCTGATTGCCCTCAAGAGAAACCATGAGGAGGTATGATCGACTTAGTTATGCAATACCAAAAGGACCAAATATATATCTAATGAAATTATCTTGGGCAGCATAGGTTTAGACTGGCTGTTCTATGTACAGGTGTGAACAGAACTGCAATCACAACAGCTGAGAAAATACATGTCTTTATGGCTATGATAACAAAACAGTTAAACAACCACATTAGATATATGCTGCAGATGAAAAGGAAAAAAAAAGCCAGACTTTGAGCTGCTGATAGCCAGAAGCTCATTAGATTGCACTGTTTAGTAATATCTCTCAACATCAGCACATCCTTATCAGAGTAACATCCACTTCCAGTTCCAGTTTAAAAGCTCTAAGCGGTGCTTCACATTAAAAAGATCACCACAGAATCTCAGGATTGCTTCACCTGCTGCCCTCAACAGCAGCACTGAGCTGTGCCCCTGCCTTCTCTCCTCGCACCCTGCAGGAATTACGACAGCTGCAGTCTCAGACTGGAGGCGATGTGAGCGTGGAGGTCAATGCTGCTCCCGGAGAAGACCTGACCAAGATTCTCAACGACCTGAGGAATGAGTACGAGCAGATCATTGAGAAGAACCGCAGGGAGGTTGAGCAGTGGTACGAAGTCAAGGTAGGCAGCAGTGCCCGCAGCGCGGTCTCCTTCCGCGGCACAGCGCAGCTCTCTGCCCGCCCTCGCTCTCAGGCAGCGGATCTGCTCCGCCAGGGGACGGCCCCGCTCACAAGGCTCTGCTCTGCTCCTGCAGATCGAAGAAGTCAATCGACAGGTCACCTCCAGCAGCCAGGACATCCAGACCAGCAGCCACCAGCTCACCGAGCTGAAGCGCGAGATGCAGAACCTGGAGATCGAGCTGCAGGCGCAGCTCAGCACGGTACGTGGGGCGGCACCGCTGAGGGCCCTGGGCTCCTCGGGATGGGAAGCTGCCTCCTGGGCTGCAGCTCTGCTCCTGACCCCCTGCCTTCCACCTCCAGAAAGGCTCGCTGGAAAACTCCTTGGCTGAGACGGAATCTCGCTACGGCTGCCTGCTGCAACAAATCCAGGGGCAGATTAACGCTGTAGAGGAGGAGCTGGCCAACATCCGCTGCGAGATGGAGGGCCAGAGCCAGGAGTACAAGATGCTGCTGGGCATCAAGACCCGCCTGGAGCAGGAGATTGCTCAGTACCGGGCTCTGCTCAATGAGGGACAGCAAGACCTTGCGTATGTATTCTGTTTGTTAATAAGGCATACATTAGTGTGCAGTGTTTTCTGTGCTGACCCTTGCAGAGGACAGAGCACAGTGTTTTGTAGCCTGTGGTTGAACTCCAGATGTAACATTTTTTCACAGCATCTTCATTGAAATGCAAATATCAGATGCTCAGTAAGCAAGCAATTACAGTTATAATTATTTCAGTTTCCCAGCTCCTCTCAGCCCATTTATACCATGCATTCTGTGAGAGCAACCACTGCAGAAGACCAAGTCGTGACCTCTGCCCACAGCTGGGCATGCTCAGCTGCTGTGAGAGAACTGCACTCCTACAGCACTCTGTAGTTTATGCTTCTCTGGCTTTCTCAGAACATATAGCTAGAAGGGAATGAAATGAAGAGACAAAAAGAAATAAGTGTAAGATCCAGGAAAAATCCCGCTGCGACATGGACTGTACAGCACGCCACAGTGTGTCTGGTTAGGAATTCATTTCTCATTCTCTTGATCACCTCTCCCTTCCCTTACAGGATGCCCCAAGGAGGAGGACGAACCTCCCACTCCTATTCTTCCTCTTCCTACTCTCACGGACAATCTGGTGGAGACAAGTCAGGTAAGGAACAGCTTCTAAAAAGGATCCTCATTTTTCCTGTGCCCACAGCTTTCACATTTTGTACTTCACTGCTGTTTGCTGGTCAACACTAAACATTGTGCTATGGCTTCCACATTCACAATTACAAAAGAGATTAAACCGTTGACAATTAGGTCTCTTAACTTCAGACTGCCATAACTCCAGCTACAGAAATTGGCTAGCTTTTTGCCCACACTCTTGCTCATGTGAATGGACCGTATAGTAATGGATAAACCTGCACATTCAGCAGACTCTTGATGCCCTCATTAAACAGAGTAATCGTTTCTTATTTCCTCCCACAGGGCAGACAAGAGTGTGCTGAGATACCACCGATGCTCTGCTCTGATCCGCCTACTGCCAGCTGCGCAGCCCCAGGTGCAGGGATAACAAACAGCTCAGGCTGTGTGCCTGGTGGTGCACAGCTCCGTCTGCACACATCGCCATGCAGTGACCATGAATCCCTGCCAGGCCTCCCAAAGTTTTCTGCTTCCTCTTTTCTGTTGTTCTTCACAAATCACTGTGATGCCCATACAGTCCTGCAGTGCCACTGGTGCTCTGCTTTCTGCTGACCAAAGTGCCTCTAATAAAACTTCACTTTTCTGCAGTGCAAAAAGAACCTGTGTCCAGTAGATGATTTAATGTATTGATATTGTACAAATATTCAAAGTTATGTGAAAGAAATGAGATACATATCCACAGTTTGGGGATGTTCTTTAGTACAGACCCAAAGAAAACAGCATATCCTACTTCATCAGGTGATTTGGATAAGCTATAAGGGAAGAAGGAATGCCTGCCCAGGTTCATATTAAACTCGAGAGTGACACCTATGGGAACAAGAAAGGATGGGTGAAGGCGCAGAGCGCTCGATGTGAGGGCTGTACGTCCAAGTGGTTGATGTGACGGTTCAGCTTAAAACAAACCTAACATGATTAAAAGCTCAAATTGGGTTAATCTGAAGACATGTGCCCTTGGGTTGCTGAAGAAGGAATTCATCGTATTCAGGCAACCCCGAATTTAGAGGAGGGTTCTGTCTAATCTTGTTCAATAAAAGCCAAAGAGTCCATCAGGCAGTGAATGGCAATATGCAGAGAAATGGCTCTTGAAACATGAATTTCAGCTGTTAGGGCCCTGACCTGCTGGAAGGCCAGGCTCACACCCTCTATCTGAAGGCTCAAATCCAAGCAGCTGAGGAACACCCTCTGATTTCCTGTGGGAACAGCCCCAGCTCTGCAGTGGGATGGGACCCAGGATGGAGGAAGGTTCCATCCTTCTTTCTGTAGCTGCCCCAACCTCACAGAACACACTGACACCATTTGAGCTAGGCAGAGGAAGAAAAAGCAGTGAAATGACTCATTTGAGACTTACAGACTACGTTTCAGCCTTCGGTTCTCAGCACACGGAGCAGAGCGGGATCTGTCACACAGCACTGCAGGCTGGGTGCGTCTCATGGCCGCTGCTCTGCAGGCAGCACACAATTCTCCGCATTTTGCTTCGCAATCAGATTCAGGCCAGGCAAAACGTCACCCTGTCACACAGCAGCTCTGCGCCCCTCTCCCTCCCCCCGCTCCCCCCAGGTGTCATTATTCCTGAGAAGTCAAACAGTTGAAGCAAACAAGAAAGGCCACATGTAAGGGTGCAGCTTAAACAGATTTCATGATTGCCTTTTCCATTACTAAAATGTGCTGCCAAAAAAAACAATGGAAGAAAATATTTTTTTCCCCAAAAAATTATTAGCTAAACTCATATTTTTAAAGGAAAAAAGAAGTAATAAAAGAGATATATTTTTCACAAGGCTAACACTGAGATATCAGACAGCATGTAATCACAGTAAAGAGGTCCGAAAATAGGGGCTATCGTCTGCTCCACGCAGTCCTGTCCGCAAGTTCTGAGCTAATCCCATCGGAAATCAGCGAGCTCAGAGCGCGTCCACACCGCGCGTCCACACCGCGCGTCCACACCGCGCGTCCACACCGCGCGTTCACACCGCGCGTTCACACCGCGCGTTCACACCGCGGAGCTCCTGCACAGCGCTCGGTTGCTGCCCTCCGCGGGGCTCCGCGGCTGCGCTTCAACAGCCGGCCTGCAGGGGGCGCGCGGAGGCACGGCGTGATTCCGGCACCGCCGCTCAGCAGGCGCTGTTCCGCCCGCGGGCGTGCGCGGGTTTCTCAATTCTGGAAATCAATCATCTCCGCCTGCAGGATAAGAAGCTTTCGGGAAGGCCAGAGGAAGACCCCGCAGCGCCGCAGCCCCGCTCTCCCAGTGCTGCAGGAGAGCTTTCAGGGCGCTGCTGTGCTGCGCTGATCCCCTCCGTCCCCTCAGCGCTTCCCAGGGCTCTAACAGAGGACATCTCTCGTTCGCTCTGCCTTCGAGAAAAAACAGACGGAAGGACACGGTCTGAACAAGTTAGTGCTGTACTCACATTTACCGGCCTACCATAATCATGAAACGTAACAGCAGTCAGATGAAGCAAGCACAGAAATGCGGGTAGGAACGTGCACTTTCTGTGTTTCTAAGTAGTGTATTCTAGTACGTTTCATGCAGCAGATAGCATTTTGGAGAGGAAACGCCAACGAACTTGTGAGCACTCGAAGCAGTCTCACACTACAGCAGACCGCCGGGCAAACGTTCCCCCGTTTCAGGTGTGCCGAGGCCGGCTTTCCCCGCGAGCCGCAGGCGCCTCGCAGCTCGTTGCGCGCTCTGCCTTCCTGCTGCAGTGCCGCTGTGAGCCCAAGGCTGGCCGCAGGGAGCGCCTTTGTGCAGCGCTGGCTGCGGATCAAAGGCCGGCCCTGCGGAGCGCCCGGCCGCCCAGCCCAGCTCTGCCCTGCAGCTCCATGCCGGCTCTGCTGCCAGAATCGAAAGCTCCTTTCCGCCGAACCCGCCGTCGGAAACCTCTCACTGGGATCTGCCGGGTGTTATTAGTTACTGAAGTCGAATCTGTTGGAAAGCAGTGGAAAGACATCCAGCAGGTATTTCCACTGGCTTCATTCGGTGGTGCTGGGCTGCCCAGCACACGAGATGGCTGGCACAGACCTCAGTGTTCCATTGAGAGAGGACTGAAAGCCAAATGAATCTACTGGAATATTATCTGGGTTTCGGGTGGGGTGAGACTGAGACAAACCTGCACTTAGAAAACTAGCAACAGAAATAATAGTATTTAAACATGAGTATAAAAATATGGACATGTAAATATATAAACATCTGAATACAAATACACACAGGTACGAATGTGTCCTGCAAACATTTACAGATGGGAACCTGACAGCCATGCCCCCGCTATGCTGGCCCTGCTCCTCTCCATCAGCAGGACTCCCCCCAGGCTGTGGGCACTGGGCAGCATGGGGCGGGCACAGCTGTCTGCTTTGGGCAGCAGCCTCTGAGCTGCCTTGGAGAACAGCTTCCAGCCCCATCACACCATGCTGAGATCTACCAGCAGATAACAGGTTAAAGGAAATGTAAAAATATCCAGAGCTTGTCTTTCACGTGCCAGGGCTGGGGGTCCCAGCCAAGCCCACCTTCAGGCACGTACATTTCCCTTCACCACACCATTCCCTCTCCTCTACAAAAGACAGAGGGTTGAGGAGGTAACAGGATCGCTCTGCTCTTATCTATCCTCTTTAAACACCAGCAGCTGTGCCTGCCTGTGCCCAGACCTGCTGCTGCAGCACACAAACATTCCTATCTCGGAATCTCTTGGCGCGCTGTGCAGCAATGTGAGCTGTGAGCATCTGGGAAAAAGGCCTAGAAATGATTGATGAGGGGAGAGGGAAGCCAGGAGGGTGAGAGCTGCACCCCAAGCAGCACAGCCGCACCACGGCCGGCTGCAGATCGGCTCTCTTCGGGTTTGGCTCTTCCCACAGGGAAGTTCCAAAAAAAAAAAAAAGGAGAAAAGTGTGTGTCTGAATTAAAGAGGTTCAGATGCTTCGTGCCTGTGTTTCTAATGGGAGAGGACATCCACAGTGGTGATCCAAGCAGATGCAGGACAGGATCAGTGGGGCAGGGCAGCACAGCTTCGATAATTGGAAAATATAAAGTTTGAAAATGTGGGTGCAAAAGAGTCAGGAAGGGTAAAGTGTGCAGGAGCTCCTCGGGTGGGAGCAGCACCGGCAGTGCGAGCACTGCAACAGCAGCGGGCGAGATGAGGTACGTGCCAGTGTTACTCAAGGGCAATAAAACTGGCTTACATCAAAGTTCATAAAAATTCCCTGAAAAAACATTTACGATTGCACAGAGCAGCAGCAATAGGAAAGCAGAACAGAGACAGATAAAGCAAACGCGGGGCTCAGCATGAGCCTCATGCAGGCTGCTCCCCGCGCTGTGCTTATCTGTGATAAACCACAGATAAAGGCCATTCCTGGGCTGTCCCACCCTTCTGTTTGCTGCAGGAAGAGCTGACTGTACAGCCAGCTGAGATCAGGGGAGTGGGAGAAACCAAGGCCTGCACTCAGTGGTAACAGCACCTTCTTCCTCCAGCAAATAATTCGCCACACTGAAGGCCTTTCCAGGCATTTAAATGTGTTATCACCTGAAGGGAGCCTCAGCAAAAGCAAACGTGCAGCCACAGAGCTACAAGAGATGTGGAGCTAAAAGACAAACCCAAACCCTTCTGGAAACTCAGAATAGTTTTCCTAGGAATGCTGCCCGAGGTGCTGCTGTCCAGGCATTTGCCATACACTGGGAGCTACGAAGAAGATGGAATAGTTGCTCCACTGGGCAGTGCCTCCCAAGCTTTTCCCCTCCTGACAATTCCAGATAGAATTCCAAATTATCAAAAAGAACTCTTTGGGAGTTTTCCCCACCTATCTGAAGAAAATGTAGCCTGATTGCAGCTAATTAGCAGTATTCTCAAAATATACCGTGATTGCTGCTTTTACTCAGGAGGTTCTGAGGGAATGCAGGGGCCTTCCAGCCCCAACTTCTATGAAGTAGACCGTAAAGACACTTGCAAAGCCACACATGTGCCTTTTATTCTGCAGAAATCCAAAACACACTGCCTTGAGGACTTCAGGAGGGAACCTGGGGATGCCCAGAGGGAAGAATGCTCCTTTCTCCGTGCTGCAGGACACCGATGGGAAGCTGCTTCTTCTTTCCGCTTCTCGCATTTCTGCTCAGGGAAGGAGAGTGCACGGAGTTCTGTTCTTCATGCTCTAACTATGGACTCCAGCATTTAACAATAAAGTAACTGTTCTCTGTCGGTCCCTTCTGCCCACATGCAAACAGCTTCCCAGGCTGTCAGTGCTCCTGATGGGAGCTGGAACCTGCTGGGCAGCATTCCCCCACCGGGCTGAATAAAACATTCAGATCTGCAGAAGGGGCTGTGCTCTGCCTCAGGGCAGGCTGCACAACACAAAAGAACCCAGCTGTCATGCCCCTAGGCTGCAGAACCACAGATAATAGGTATGGCCCCAAACTGCACGTATCTGCTGACACATTCTGTGCCTGAGTTGCTGCAGAACTCCGCTCTGATACAGCCTCATCATCAGGTGCAGAAAAGCCTGCAAGTTACTCCAGCGGGACAGGACTCCTCTCATCTGAGGATACAGATCATCTACATAGGAAAGCAAGCAGGACATGAGTCAGCCTCAAGGCCCCACGTTCACAATGAAGTACATTCAGACAAAAATGACTGAATTCTGGTCAACTGGCAAACCAATCTCATCAATTACAGCTGAAAGTGAAGCATAAATGGGAAAAAAGAAAGTATCAATCTGTACAAATGATGAGTTGCGAAGCACTGAAAGCTAGTGGATGGCCAGAAGGCTGCAAGGAAGGCTGTAAGGCCGACTCCACGGGGCTGCACAGGCTCCTTGGCCAGCTTCCAGCTCGTGTGTTTGTTCTTTAACACTCCCTGTATTTGCCCTGCAGTTTGACTTCTCTCTCCGGACCAAGTGGGTAAAGCACTGATGTGTGTTTAGTGCATTTTTACAGGCAAAAAAAGAACAGCCGTGCCCTCATGCCGAGTATGCATTTCATTTGGCTTATCTGTAATTCATTGTCTTGGTACTACACGGGTTGCTCATTCAAACAGCCCACAGCTGGCACTCCCAGAGCTGTGGAAGCAGCTGCAGGAAGCAGAGCTCGGCCCTGGCCTGGCTGCCTCCAATGCTGTCCCTGCATCCCTCCTTACAGCAGCACCTCAGGGGCCCGGAGGTTTGGAGGGCAGGAGGGCTGGTGGGGAAAGAAAGAGAACAGCAGAATGAGATGGAGAGCCGCTCGCTGCTGGGGATGCTTGCAGTGATAAAAGCACCACTGCCTTTGAAAATTCACCTCGGAGAACTGGATTTAAGCACTGAAGAAATAACATTTTCACTACTTTCAGAGCCCAGAAAGCAATGTGATTACGTTTCTTCTGTTTACTTCCCTCCTTGGTAGTAGCAAAGGGACTGAACGTATAATTGGGCCTTTGTTTCTGTTGTTGCTGACTCCCCAGGTAACACTCGGGGAAGTTTAATGCCTATCTCCTACAAACACTGCAATGGTTCCTTGAAAAGGACCCTTGTTTCTGTACAAAAATAGACTCCTTCACACACGACACGTTCTCTGTCAGATCCTCCATTTTACTGTTGGCCCAAAAGGAAATAAGACCAAAGAAACAAACTTAAGATTTGTAACAGAACAGAATAGTCCAGTCAGTTCATCAGCTCAAGGATCCAGTCCAACTGCCTGAGCACATCAGGGCTAAGGAAATGCCATATCACTGTACCATATCACTGAGGGCAGTGACCAGTGCCTCTCCACCACCACCATCCACAGGGAATCCATGGATCCACCTCCCCGCGAAGGCTGCCCAGCAAAGAAATTGTTCCTTCTGAAAGAAGGATTTTTCCTGAGGGAAAGAAGGAAAAAGGCTGGTAGGACCCTGCTTTGCTAAGGCACTGTTCACCATGTGGGCTCCTTTCAGGCTCTGCTATCAGCCTGCAGTAGCTGATCTAATCACTCCGTATTTTAACTTTCCTGAGGCTGCAGAAGCAAGTTGCTGTGTGACCTCGCTGGGGACGCAGCACAGGCTGCGGTGGGGCTGCGTGCTGCCAGCCCTGCTGCTCCCAGCACACAAACTGCAACCAGATCATGGAGCAACACCTCCCCTCAATCCCACCTTCTTCCTCAAAAGCCCTGGGGGAGGGAATCGGCTCGTTGTGTGAAGGTATTTGGGAATGAAACCCAGCTCACTTCTCAGCAACTGACCAATGAGAGGAATTCCTGTGTTGGCAGAGGGCTGACGGCCGATAAATTCCACGGGTCTCAGATAACACATTCTGGAGACAACTCCCATTGTCACAGGCATAAAAGAGCTGGGGTGGGGGAAAGGAGCACGCATTCCTGCTTCAGGATCACAAACGCAGCTGCTTCAGGTCCTTGGCATTTCTCCCCATGGCGACCTACAGCTTCAGGCAAACCTCCTCCGTGGCCGGGGGGCCCGGCGGCCGCTCGCTCCGTTTGGGGGGGGGTTCCTTCAGGGCTCCGAGCATCCATGGGGGATCCGGTGGCAGGGGTGTGTCAGTCTCTTCCGCCAGATTTGTCTCTTCTGGCCTAGGAAGCGGCCTGGGCGGTGGATATGGAGGTGCCGTCGGCAGCGGCTTTGGTGCAGGCTTTGGTGGTGGCTATGGCGGGGGCTGGGGCTCTGGGGATGGTCTCCTGTCAGGGAATGAAAAGACGACGATGCAAAACCTGAACGACCGCCTCGCGTCCTACCTGGACAAAGTGCGTGCGTTGGAGGAAGCCAACTCAGAGCTTGAGACTAAGATCCGCGAATGGTACCTAAAACAAGGACCGGGCCCTGTCCGAGACTACAGCCCTTATTACAAGGCTATTGAAGACCTCCGAGACCAGGTAGGTGGTTGTATTTACTAAAAAGCACTTTAGAAGGAAGCATAAAAACCCAAAGAGAAAAACTCCCTAGGAAAGAGCCAGAAGGAAGTGAGGTCTGTGAAAAGGAGGAAGATGAAAACACAATCTTTGGTTGGGGCAGGGAGAGAAATGTGCAGTACGAAATCATCCACGATTTGAAGTGTTAGCAGGGAGAAAGCACAGAACAGCTCAGCTCAGACTCCCAGCATCTCATCCTGGTGGTTCTCTGACTGCCGCACTGCCAGCAGAACTCCAGACAGCACACACACACTGCTGGTACAGCACACACACACACTGCTGGTACAGCACACACACACACACTGCTGGTACAGCACACACACACACTGCTGGTACAGCACACACACACACACACACTGCTGGTACAGCACACACACACTGCTGGTACAGCACACACACACACACTGCTGGTACAGCAAAGTGCAGTCTGGTAAAGGTGATGATAGAAGCTCATGATTTCATGAACTTAACTACACGTTTTGTTGCACATTTCACTTACTTAAGCTAGCAACTGAAACAAGAATGTTGAAACATTCTGTGTACGGACAAAGGAAGTAGCAGACAAAATAATCGATCCCATCTATAAATGCAGGCTCTGTCCCAGCAGCCGATGGGCAGCCGATGTTAGATTTCTTGGAGGAGATGCAGGCCCTGGAGCACATACCTGGAAGCTGACTGCACTGTGTAAATAAATGGAAGAAAACTTTAGGGTCATTTCTCACAGTTGAGCTTGGAGTTGTGACCGCTCCCACGGGGTTTATTTTCTCTTTGTCTTAAGACATTCACATTCTCCACTGATTTCAAAACTGAGCTCCACAAAAGACAGAACTGGGAATCAGATTTTCACCTTTTGGCATTCTTTTTCCTCCTTTTATTCCCTTTTGTTAGAGAAGATGTTGTTCCTGCTGTTTTTGTATATGACCTTTTAAGTTTTGAAAGCAGCAGGCAAAAAAGACACATTTTCTAGTTAAAAATTAGAAGGGATTACTGCTAAGGAACATTTCCTTCACAGCATTTCATGATTAATTATCAGAGACAATAAACACCAAATTGGTTATTTTAAGGAAAATAACATGCTCAAAGACGTTACAAATGCAGTATGAACCGAGATTGCTTACAATACACAAACATGCCATTTATTTTGCAATCATACAGGCCTTGCAGTCACTGCCCTGTTAAGAAAACACGCAGACAGAACCAGTTCTGCCCAGAACTGCACTGTGCTTCCTTTGCTTTTCTCCAGGAAGCACTGGTTGTGCCTCACAACCACAACAGCTCCCACTGACCGGCCTCTCCCTCACACTGCAGGGATTCCAGCTGAAAGCCCTTCATAGGACACAAGCAAGGGGACCAACCCACGGCCAACAGCAATGGCAGAAATGCTGTGGTCAATCTGTGCTGCCTGTTTGCTACAGCTAATCTGATATTTTCCTACTGACACCAAACAAAATGCACTCATCTTTGGTGGAGCTATGGGTGAAATACAATCATAACTCTTCCACCTTTAGGGTAAGGAAAAGAAACAACATGCTTGTTTCACCTCAGCAATGAACTCTTGCTGATTGCAGATCCTTGCTGCCACTATTGACAACTCGAAGGTGGTCCTGCAGATCGACAACGCCAGGCTGGCTGCTGACGACTTCAAGACCAAGTGAGTAATTTCTGAAAGGGAAAAGTCTCCTGAGGAGGCAAAAATCCCTATTGAGGCAAAGGGCAGTGGCTGTGAAAAAACAAAAGAACGTGTGTAAAATCTCTGTATCAGCACTAGTTTGATCCTGTCATCGCAGCTCAGCCCCTTATGCATTGCTGAAAACATCACCTATGCCCCAGAAAACACTCCATCGAGTAAAATACGTGTAGAAAAGTTTTATGCTGGACAACATCTGCTATATTATAGTTCCTGCAGTGCCAGATACGTCTCTAACAAATAACGCATTTCACAGTGCCCTCATCAGCCTGAAGAGTTCTGCTTTGCTTTTTCGAGGTTTGAAACAGAGCAAGCTCTGCGCATGAGCGTGGAGGCCGACATCAACGGGCTGCGCAGGGTGCTGGACGAGCTGACCCTGGCCAGGACCGACCTGGAGCTGCAGATCGAGAGCCTGAAGGAGGAGCTGGCCTACCTGAAGAAGAACCACGAGGAGGTAAATTAAAAAACAAACAAGAAGCATTTTAGGAGTGAGTTAGGACAGCAGTGAGTGGAATGCCTCAGGACTGCCTTGGGCTCTCCAGTGAAAAAGAAAAGACTTCTGTGCAGACTGGCAAATGAAAGATCCACCCTGCCAGTTTTCCACTGCAGTCACTTAGAGCCTTGCAGAAAGGATGGATGGCTCATAATGTACTCATTCACAACTGCACCCTCTTTTGTCTTCCTCTGCTATATCGACACAGGAAATGAGTGCCCTGGGAGGTCAGGTAGCCGGCCAAGTCAGTGTAGAAGTGGACTCTGCTCCAGGCATTGACCTGTCCAAGATCCTGGCCGATATGAGAGACCAGTATGAACACATGGCGGAGAAGAACAGGAAGGATGCTGAGGCCTGGTTCCACAGTAAGGTATCAAAAGCTTCATACTAAATAAATGCTAATTTTTAAATCCACAGAGGAAAAAGTGGCCCTGTAACTTACAGAAAACCAATCTGAAAGCCTTACGACCTCTGCTCAGAGGCCCCACGTGTCTCACGTGGCATTTCCCCACTTTCAGACTGAAGAGCTGAACCGTGAGGTAGCCATCAATACTGAACAGCTGCAGAGCAGCAAGTCCGAAGTCACCGACCTGAGACGCACCCTGCAAGGGCTGGAGATAGAGCTGCAGTCCCAGCTCAGCATGGTATGTGAAAATTTGCACTGCGGAAACGCAGACCCCCTAAAATACACCCGTATTCCCCTCCTGCAAGCAGCCCAGCAACCCTTCCCTCCACCTGTGCTGGCAGAAAGGCGCGCTGGAGAGCAGCCTGGCAGACACCGAGGGGCGTTACGGCGCACAGCTGGCGCAGATCCAGGACATGATTGGCAGCATTGAGGCGCAGCTGGCTGAGCTCCGAGCTGATCTGGAGCGCCAGAACAACGAATACAAGATGCTCATGGATATCAAGACCCGGCTGGAGCAGGAGATCGCTACTTACCGGCAGCTCCTGGAGGGTCAGGAGTCCCAGTAAGTAACGGCTCGTGGCACAGAGCCTCTGTGCTTCGCCTCGTGCCGCGTGAGCGTGGCGCGGTGCCGTGTGCCACAGCACGGCAGTACACACAGCTCAGATACTGCTGGGATTCTGCGTTTTGTAACAAGTCTTTTTTTCAGGAGAGAAGTTATCTTCTCCCACTGTTTCTTTCACTGTTGTAGTTCACAAAAACATTTCCCATAACGATTCCTTCTCCTGGGAGACCAAGGAAATGAACATCTTGTTTTCTGACCATATACAAAATGATGAGAACCTGCTGTCGTACATCGTTGTCTCACACAGCATGCAGTGTGCTACCTCCCCTTTCAGCTCTCCTCTCTTTGCTTGCAGGTTGTTTGGCTCCCTTTCTGGATCTCCCGGTAAGGACTTTTTCTCCTCTAGGAAACCTTTAGTAAGCAAAGAAGTTTGATTTTCCAAAAACATAAATACACACATTAAGGTAATTCTGTCCATTTCAGACTGGGCTGCTGCACTGATCTGTGCCACAGAAAAAGTCAAAGTGATGGCTCTGGCCAGAATTCAACAAGTTTTAGACATCAAAAGCTATTAGACATCAGGAAAAAATGTCAGACTTTGCCACTGTAAAACACACAAATATTCCCCCAGGTGGAAGAATACAAGCAATTTCAGCCTGCCAGCTCAGGGGCGTTGTACCAACATGCAAGTATGACTGGCTTTTAAAGGTCAGCTGTATTGTAAAAGTGATGCATGATTCAAATCAATTCTATGAAGAACAAAACTTCTGAGAGAAGGGAATGACAGATGAGACACAAACTAAGCTCAGTAACTTGCAGAATGGTCTTATGTGTTCTGGTTAAGTAACTTTTTTCTTTTTCTCCATATTATTGCAGACAAAAGAGACAAGCTGGCAGATGGAAAATAGTACTGAAAGTCCCATAAATGTCAACTTCAAGATGAAGAGAAAAAAGGGAAATAAAATGCAGAGAAATCACACTAAACTGCTGGAAATTAACTACACAGAAAATCCTTGTCTACACAAAGCTTAAGTAGATTGGTTCATTTAGCAGTGATTAATTTGCAGACTAGGTTAGGTTTTTAATTACTTTTTCTTGTACTGAAATGCTGTAGCTGCTCCAATAAAGATGATCTTGCAATCTCGGCTCCTGTTCTCTCACTGTGCAGTCACTGCTGAAGCTGGGCTGCAGCCACAGGACGATGCCCCAGCACAGCCCTCCTGGGAGATGCACCCACAGGGCACCAACAGCGAGATGTGGGGAGATTCCAGCAAGAAGCAAGAGCTGGAGAGTGTTTTGTTAGGGCAAAATGCGAAGCTGTTAGAATGGCTGCAGATACATGGGAGTGAGGAACAGGGCTGAGATTTCTTCACTCACTTTCTATTCCAATGCACTTATCTTCAAACAGAAAAATCAAACCCTCAGCTCATCCACTGCTATGGGCTCTCGGGACTCTTCCAACCACCTTCTTTCTCACATCACTGGAAGGGTGCTCTGGCTGAAATCATAAATGCAATCGCTCTTACTTCAGGCCATCAGAAATCAGTTATTTCACTCCCAACCATCACTCCAGAAGCTTACAGCCAAGGAAAATTCTCTGGGCTTGTGCTAAAAGAAAACTGGGGCTACAGCCCAGGCCTCCAGCCCCACTCCTCAGCCCCAGCAGGGACACACAGCTCCCCAGGGTGGATCACTCCTCTCAAACAGTGACAAACCCTTCATCACTTCTCTCCTCGGACTTGGGAGGGAATACATTCTTTCATTCATTTTTGTAAGTCCTCCCAGATTAATGAAGTGTTTGCACAGCAAGGAGCAGCGCAGAGCTGCAGACCTGCTCTGTCAGGGCTGGGTAATCCTCCCCAGGTGAAGGGGCCGGAGCTGGGCTCGGCTCTGCGCTGACTCAGCTGACCCATCAGCAGCACCTGTCGTGTCCTGATGCGCAAGTCCCGGCTCAGCCCCTGGAAATCCAGCTCTGTGGCATTTGACAGCAGCCTGACTATGACATGAAGAACTGACAGCAAAAAAAAGACAGTCCTGAGAAGCACAAATCAGCAGAGATGTGGAGGGGAGGGCAGGACGGGGCTGCAGCAGGCTGCTCTGGTGTGGCTGAATGAAAAATCCCCGAAGTTTCCTGATACAGCTGACAGTGGTTTTGCTGGTTTGTGTGTGCGTTTCTTACTTTCTAATTGCAATTTGATCTTGCCCGTCACACACAGCCCAGCAGCCTGCACACCTCTGCACACTGCCATGACAGGGGGCTTAAAGAAACTTCTTTGTCTTTGGGAGAGTTTGCCTCAACTTGTCCCTGAGATGCTGCCTCTCGCAGATACGCACATTTGGCAGCTACACACAACTATTAATCTGCCCCAGAGCAAAACTGAAGTGCTATGGCAGAGGTCCAAGCTCCGTTTGAAACATGTTTCCACAGCTATGAAATATCCTGCCGTTGCTGATGAGCTGCAGTACGAGTGGACAGGCTCACAATCGGGCTGTCAGGCTGTGTATTACTGAGAGTTTTGGTGCTCATTGCCTCCAAGTACCTCCTCCCAGCTCCCCCCCATACAAGGCTGCTCACCGCCACGGGGGCACAGCCACACCTCAGAAACCCCGTTGGGCATCCCAGCAACTGGTGCGAGCCCAGCATCCGAAAACATGCACCCTGCATGATATGAAACCTGAAAAGCTGCTAAGAAAAGCACAGCTGTTACTGTGGTGTTTAGCAAATATAGATTGTTCCTTCTTTAAAAGGAAAAAGGTCAACTTTTTTGAAAAATTTTAGAATGCATCTGTTGCAGAGCAGAGATGAGAGGAAATTCCTCCCACCCCACACTGCCCAGCCCTGTGCCTTTACCCCATGTCACAGCAATAAGCTCACCCCTCCTTCACCTGAACTGTCACCTATGGGCAGAGAACGGCGTTCTGTCTGCAAAATCCACACTGCTGGCACACACCTCACACAGCCGCTGTCCCCACTGACACCCTGAGCTCTAAGCAAGAAGTGCACACTGCTGAACATCCCCCAGATGTGGTTTCTTATGAGCACACAGTGTTCAGCAGTTGGTTACTGAGGTACAACATCACTCACAAATGGGTAGAACTGAAATACACTGTATGTGAGATTCACTTTAGATGAAAGATTAATGTCACCTTGTAAGTGATTCTCAGACCTTACTTTCAAAAATCACAAATTTCACAGTGCAGATCAGTGCTGCACACGTTAATTCCACGCTGAACTGTTTCAGCTGAAGCTCGGCTTGTTTAGGTTTGCCAAAAGTAACAGGAACTTCGTCCTCCCACATTCTTCTTTTAATCAAATCATTTCACTCTTGTATTGCCCTCCTCACCTATTTCACAAGTGTCAGTAAATTAAATTAAACCTGTCTCCCAGAACACAGATGGATGCCAGTCGTTCCCCACACCGTGCTGTGTGCTCTCTGTAATAGAAATTCAGATGCCAACACTTAAATACAAATTCTGAGCAAAGAACAGGAATAAAAACATGGAAAATTCAATTCCAAATTTTTGCGGGAAAAAAAACATAAACAGAAACAAGAAATAATGGTGACGTGAACATTTTTGCACAGTTTGTACTTTTTCAATGAAAGTGGAATTTTACTTAAACGAAACTTCGTTTGGGGAAGTCATTGATCTCCCAGTAACCGCGGTGGCTGCTGTGGATGGGTGAGTGGGTGCGGTTCGACTCGCTTTGTTTTTCCATTCTTGACTGTCAGAAAAGTAAACCCCGGGCTTCAGAACTATAGCCCGAAGAAAAACACAACCTGAATCATCCCCTTAGTTTAATTAAAAGAAAAAACCCAAGCCCTAACCCCTGGGATGTGCAGCCAGCTCTGTGTGTAAGGAATGTCATCATAATTGGCCTCACCTCAAGGGAGGAGAATCTTTGAGGGAGGGTTGCAGCTCGGCTTTTCTCCTGTCTCCTGGCTATAAAAGAAGCACCAGGGCAGCGAGGCACTACGCTTTCCTGCTCCGCACTGCGCTGAGTACCAACTCCTCCGTGCTGCAGCCATGACTACTTACAGCGTGCACAACTCCTTCGCTAGCGGTGCCGGGGGCTTCGGCGCTGCTGGCAGCGGCGGCTCCCGCCTGTCCTCGGTGCGGGTCGGGGGCTCCTACCGCGCCCCGAGCATCCACGGCGGCTCCGGGGGCCGCGGCGTCTCCGTCTCCTCGGCCCGGTTCGTCTCCTCGGCCGGAGGCGGCTATGGGGGCGGATCCTGCGCCGGGTTCGGCGGCGGGTTCGGCGGAGGCTACGGCGGCTTTGGTGGAGGTGCGGTGTGCGGCTTGGGCGGAGGAGCCGGCTTTGGGGGAGGCTTTGATGCTAGCTGTGCCTTTGGTGGCGGGGACGGCCTGCTTTCCGGCAATGAAAAGATAACGATGCAGAACCTGAACGACCGCCTGGCCACGTACCTGCAGAAGGTACGAGCTCTGGAAGACGCAAATGCAGAACTGGAAGTCAAAATCCGAGACTGGTACCAGAAGGAAGCTCCCACCAGCCCGGCTCGAGACTACAGTAACTACTACAAGATAATTGAAGATCTCCGAGATAAGGTATGGCCTTCATAAGATGGGCAGTTAGAAAAATGCATTGGAGCTGTGGAAGTGCACAGTTCACACCTCTGAAATCAAGTAGAACAATCAGAAAATAAATCTTGAATTCCCCAAGCTAAAGCTGCCTGTGGCTCTCAGCAAACCAACAGAAAATTGTAACCTTTCCTTCATTTAAACAAAAAATGTTGCATCCTGAAAATGAGCTGGTTTTTGCAATTAAAATGATTACAGAAGTTGTTAACAGGACATGGAAAGTGTGCTCAGTTCACAGCATTCACAGTGCTTCCTCCTGTTTTTCCACCTGTCAGATCCTTGCAGCCACTATCGACAATTCCAGGGTCGTTCTGGAGATTGACAACGCCAGGCTGGCCGCCGATGACTTCAGACTGAAGTAAGTTTGCCTGAAACACATTTGTCCTCTCTCTCCTTTTCTCCCTTTCTCAAAAGTTTTCTGAAGCGTAGTATTACTTCTCATCTAGAAAATAAAGTTCTTCAGCCACTGAAAGATGTATTTCCAAATCACAGATGGATGCCTTTCATTAATAACTTCTAATGAAAAATCTCTGGCAAAAACAACACAGTGAGGGATCGGAACAGAGTAACCAGATTACTGAGCTGCTAATATATACCAGTAAATCGTGTCTCAGTTCTTTAGTGATGCTTTTAACTACTTTAGTAGCCTGCAATCACAGGGGAAAAGAAAACAGTTTGGGTTTTTGACTTAAGGCTCCACTGCATGCAAACTTGTGCGTGTGCCAACGCTTGTTTCTTTGTAAAACTGCAGGTATGAGAATGAGCTGTTCCTGCGCCAGAGCGTGGAGTCCGACATCAACGGGCTGCGCAGGGTGCTGGACGAGCTGACCCTGTCCAGGACCGACCTGGAGATGCAGATCGAGAGCCTGAAGGAGGAGCTGGCCTACCTGAAGAAGAACCACGAGGAGGTGAGCGCTGTTAGCTGTGCAGAGAGGAAATTACTTCCCTTGGAATTTGTCTAATAACATCAGAATGGCAACATTAATAAGGAGAAAACTGTGATATTAAAAGAACCTGAAGTTGGTCCTGAGAAGCATTTATCTGATTCCAAAATGTTCAGATCCAAGAGCTGCAGAGTCTCAGTCTGACATTCCTAGGCATGACAGGTCACGTAGAAACTATATGTAAGTCTGAGTGTGTGAGAGTATACAGGATAGAAAGGCATATACATGGAGAGATACAATCTGAGAAATGTTTCTATGCGTGTCCCATCTCTGATAATTAAAGTGCCACACACCAGTGCATGGACTGCTGCTGGCAGAAAGCATGTCAGAGTACAGAGCATAATCTCCTTTGTGTCCCCCACCTCTCATTTCCCACGCAGGAAATGAAGGAGTACTCCACTCAGCTCAGTGGAACAGTCAACGTGGAAATGGACGCTGCTCCTGGCATCGACCTGACCAGGATCCTCTCGGAGATGAGGGAGCAGTACGAGGCTCTGGCTGAGAAGAACCGTAAGGATGCTGAGGCGTGGTTCCTCACTCAGGTATGCTTATGGCAGCGAACATCGAACTGATGCACTGCCTCATCACTGCTGCTGCAGCGGAAGAGATAAGCCTAAAATGTAATTTTTATGCATTTAATTTTGCAGTTGCTTTTTTCTTTCAGACTGATGAACTGAACCGTGAAGTTGCCACCCACACCGAGCAGATACAGAGCAGCAAATCCGAGATCACAGAACTGAGACGCACGGTGCAGAGCCTGGAGATCGAGCTGCAGTCACAGATGAGCATGGTATGGAGCACACTGCAAGCCACAGCCAGAAACCTCCCCTGCCCCTCCTCCCTTGCTTTGCTTTAGATTTCATCTGCAGGATGAATCTGTACGACAACCTGTTCTAATGTCTTCCTGCATTAGAAAGCCGGACTGGAAGCCAACCTGCGAGATACAGAAGGACGATACTGTGCACAGCTGGCACAAATTCAGAACCTCATCACCAGCGTTGAGGAGCAACTGAGTGAAATCAGATGTGACATGGAGCGCCAGAACCAGGAGTACAGAATGCTGATGGACATCAAGAGCCGCCTGGAGCAGGAGATCGCCACGTACCGCCAGCTGCTGGAGACCCAGGACTCTCAGTATGTTACTGTATACAAATCCGGTGATGGATAGATAAGGTTAATAACAGGGCACATTGTAAAGCAGTAATTTGTGGTTGTTAAGCTGACTCCAGATTACTAAATTACACTGATTGCATACACAGCCTGCTGAGCACTGGCAACACAGATGCTCGGCAACATCCCCAGAGCTGCTATCACTCAAACTACATCTGCAGATCAGTTGTGCTGATAATTTGAAGCTATAAACGCAAGCATGTTGACTAAAGTGAACTACAGAAGGCACCAGGCCCCATACATGTCTCATGTAATCCTCCTGCTGGGCTGGAATCACCGCCTTCAGCCTAACATACCATTCACACGTCTGTTCTCAGGCGTTGTTTTTCTGCACTTGTGAACAAAGGTGAAAATATTTATCATCACACACCCAGAATAGAAGAGGATAGACCACAACTGACTTCAGTGAAGTCTAACATTTACTGCCCATTTCTCATACTGATCTACACAAGGAATCACTTCTGATTTCTGAGAGGGAATCAGCTCCTTATGCTGTTTCTAGAGACAAATCAAGACTAACAAGTGGTCTCACTGATGGCCATGTTTTCTTTAGAGTTTACAGCAGTGCTATTCAAAGCCCTGACATGAGCACAAGTACCAGCAGAGTAAGAGCCAACCTGCTGATGAAGCAGTGTGAGGTCTGAGCTGGGCACACAGCGTCTCCTAACTGTGTCGGTGGACAAACTCATTGATGGTCACTGACCAAACTTTTCTTCTTTTCTGCAGCATGCCAGGAGTGAACCCTAAGGATGGTAAGTAAAAAATGTGATGTAAAGAGGGGCGGAAATGAGTTCAAGCAATAGAATTAAATAAGCCTTTTTTCCTTGGTATTTCTTCTTATTAACACAGATCATATTCTCTCTGCAATTATACCTTCTTTTCCATTTGGAGAGGAAAGCACAGTACTTTATCTTATTTTATGTGCACTTTTGACCCCAACAGCTTGCAAAATGATTGCACTGACTCCTCGTGTGGCTCTAAAGCATGGCAATCTCACAGAGATTCCTCAGTTCCTCTGCTTATTCATACAGCCTGCAGGAGAGATCTGACATGCAGTGCACTCTGTTTATATCTTTACCTCTCCTATTTCATAACTGGGAAGATTTACTGGATGTGGACCAGCAGGAACAGAAGATGAGGTGCAGAGGCAGCTCCTCCTCTGCTATGTGAAAAAAAAGTCAGGAAATGAGCAAACAAGAAACATTGTGTGGCTCTTCTGTGTGTTCCCATAAGCTTGATGATCTTTTTTTCTCCTACCACAGCTGCTGGAAGAGTCCGTGGGGGCACAGAAGATGAGGGAAGGTCTTCCTCCTCTCGTGACAGGAGACCCTTATAAAGAAATACTGAATCCTCTCTTGCTATGACACCACCTGTGCCGGACCAGCTGTAAGAAGGGCAGTCCAACCACTGGCTAATGCTTACAGAAATGTGCTGTTACTTTTGCTAGATCACAAGAATGTAACCCAAAAAGTGTGCACCAGCTTCGTGTCTTTCCTTAAATTTGCTCTCCCTTTTTACACAATCATTTGGCTCTATGGGTCAGAGACATCTGCTTCCTTCTGTACAGCATCCTTATGAAAGAGTCTACACAATAAAGTTTCTCTCCTGCTTGTGCAAATGCATTCAGTCTGATGTTGTTTTTCTGTAGTCAGTGCAGCATTGCCATCCATGCAGCCATCTGCCCTCCTTACACAGCACTCCCTGCAACCCAGCCGTGGTGTCTGACATGGAGGTACCTCTGTGCATAACAGCAACGTAGCAGCCTTAAGAAAGGCAGTGACGAATGCACGGATATGAAGTGCCATTGGATTCTCCCAGGAAGCAGAAGTTAATATGAAAAAGATAATGCAAAACACCCTTAAGCCCTTTGCTCTGAATTCAACGTGCACAACTTTGAAATATCAGTGTTGTTATTGGCTACCATATGGTCAGGTTCTTCCAGCCAAAGCATACCCTGAGCACACACAGCCTCACAATTTGGGGAAAAATAACATTAATTCTCAAGGATATCCATCTCTGCCAGCAGCCATGAAATTCTACTGGACGATATAATGGCATTAATTGCTGCTGGTAGAGGATACATGACTAGGGCATAACGGCCCTATTCCACTAGCATGTTGCCCCAGCACTAACAGCACTTGACCAAGAAGTGGGCAACTTGGATCTTATCAAAGTGAGCATTAAACGGTCACGTCCAGTGAGTGTAAATGTCACAGCTCTGATCTACACTTTGTCACACGTTATCTACCTCCACATCGCTGCTGTCACAGCACTCGGTGCTCAGCGGGCGATCGGCCGCCCTGCAGCACCGCACGCAGCTCCGGGAGCCCCGCAGCGCTCAGCCCATGGTGCCACCTGCTGGCGGCTCTCGTTTTCTTACTCTGACCATTGCTTTCATTCCGTACCGCCTGGATCGCACGGCTGGCTGGGAACATAAGCATAAAAAACAGCCGCAGAACTGTGCCGGGTTTGAATGAAGACTTTTGTCTTTTCCATGGATCCTTCACGTGTGTGTGCGTGAGGGAAACCGTGTGACGCCCTTTCCAATTTAAAAAAGCTCAGTTTCAGAGGAGACATTTCTGTGTGTCGGCACCTCGGGCCGTGGGAGGCTCTGTGCTGCAGGGTACCGCCAGCCCACGCCTTTCCTGACTCTGGTTATGCATGAACTCATTTTCCAACATTATATTTCACAGAACATTATCTTGCTGAACTGCCAGACTGGAAAACTCAGTGTGAAATTCAGCTTTGTGGAGATGAACCGAACAGCAGGACATCCCCGGTTCCATCCTGCTGTCACGTTTCATTGCAGTTAGCTCTCCATTTCTGCCCGGCGCTTCAAGCTCCCGTTACTCTCAAGCTGCAGCGCTGACAGTGAGGAGTATGTTCCAACAGCAGACGACAGCTGTAGCTGTTAGGAGAACATTCTTAGCGTTTCTATGCCATCAAGTGTGTGAGAAATAAGAACACGGACGTCAGCAGCCGAGGCGCAAAGCAGCCACGAGGCGGAGCCCGATCCCTGCCCGGCCCCGGCTCCTCTGCCCCGCGGTGCTGGGCGAAACGCGGTGCTTCTTCAGTGCTGCCGAATTTCAATTTAAACGAACACTGAAAAAAAAAAAAGGATTCCGCGGCTTCTCCCAGGTCAGTATAATTCCGCAGCATCTCCCCAGCCGAACCCTTCGGAATGCGGGGCGTTGTAGGGTCACAGATCCCCCGCTGCTCTCCGGCCGCCCCTGCACCGCAGCGCAGCCGCTCGGTTTGTGCCCCCGGAGCGGCGACCGAACTCAGCGCCCGCCGCCGCTGCCGGGTGCGGGACGGGGCGGCACGGCAGGGGCTGCGCTGATCCGCTCTGGTTTTGACTTACGCAGCTTCAGAGGGGACCTGGAACTTCGGAGAGAGACTATTTCTGCACAGTGCCAGCTCAATTTGCACCATTGGTAGCTTCAGTTTTTGGAGTATTATAACAGACTTCGGAATATTTTCTACAGCTATAGTATATTTATAGTGCTCACATTAGCAACAGCAATACATCCCCGCTTTATTATCTTTGTATTTCAACAAGACTGCAGAAATTGAAAGATGACCGCACATCGAATCATGAATAAAACGAGTAGGAAAGATTGCAAAGGATGTAATTCTGGTGTTTGTCGGTGAAACAGGCGGCCGAAGGGAACAGCTGGGCGGCAGCTGTGGGACGCGGCCGGGTGCATCAGGACAGCCCCGCAGGACGCGCCGTGCCGCAGGGCTCAGAGTGCGCAGCTCGGAAGCTGACAATTCCGGCAGCAGGAAAGCGGCCCGGCAGAGCAGCCCCTGCCCTCAGCCTCCCTGTGCTCTGTGACGGATGACGATCTCCCCCTCCAAACACGAGAATACAACGCATTCGCTGCTGGGTTTTAGTCAACAGTCCGAGGCAGAGCCGATCCGGTTCCACACCTACTGCTTTTAGCCACACCTCGCAATTATAATATGAAAAGCGAAGAAAAAAAAGAAAGAAAACAAGCAAAAGGAATCTGGTATGTGGCTGTGATTCCAAATAATAACAATAGTGTGTGCAGGCTCATAAATGCTTCAGAATTGACCAAGAGGAAGCACGTTTCATGATGACACAATCTTGCTGTAGTCATTCAGCGAAGGGAACTCCCACAGGAGAAGGCATAAAGCCGCTCAGGGAAGGCTAAGGAGCTGCTCAGTGCGAGTCAGTCAAACATTGGGTGAGATCCGTAACGGAGCCGAACATGAGTACCAGCCAAGGCCCTTTCCAGTTTTATTCTGGGTCCCTCAGGGGTAGTGCAGGGTGTGGTTTGGCCCAGCAAGGAACTGCTTACCGACCTCCAAGTGCAGACGGTGCCAGCGGCACACACACCTCTTTCTCCCCCGCCAGACCCCTCTGTCTGGCCGCCGGAGGAGGGGCATCCTGGGGATGCTTCGGCGAGCACCACTGGGAAAGCATCTTCCTGGGTGGGAATGAGAAACAGACTATGCAAAACCTGAATGACCGTTTGGCTGCCTACCTGGACAAGGTCCGCTCCTTAGAAGCAGCCAACGCTCAGCTCGAAAGCTGCATCCTAGAGTGGCACAGGACAAAGTCCCATGGAAAGAGACATGACTTCAACCAGTACGAGCAAAACGTCACTGACATGCAAAGACAGGTAAGTCAGAGCTATAAGCAGCTATGCCATTCTGTGCTCCTCTAAGGGATCTGGCTCCTCATTTATGCTGATGGCTTTCCTTTAAAGAAAATTAAGAATAGCATTTTAAATGTTAGAAATACAAATGAAAGTGGTTACAGGAGCTGGGCACGAACGTTTCCTCCACAAGGAGGAAAGTGGGGAATAAGAAAGGCTGGAAGGGAAACGAGGGGCCCCTGTGCAGGCTGATAGCATAAAGGTGCTCGTGTGCTGCCAGGTGCTCATTGCTGTACATGAAACTGTGGTTTCAGAACCACGTCTGGCAGAATATGATCCTCTGACTGCACATGTAGGCAAGCAAATTAAAAAGCAGGCAGCCTGAAGTGAATGCCTTCTTTCATGCGCGCCGTCCTCAGACGTAGTTCTGCTGCCTTTCATTTCTTTGATTCCTGTGGCAGCCGACAATGAAACTACAGGACTTTTGGGTCCAATGAGCTTATGTAATCAGATGGAAAAATACTTCATTGTAATTAAGGAAATAGCAGTGACAAATTCCTTGTGGATGTTTTCACTATAATTAAAAGAAGAAATTCTGGTTCTCGCCAGTTGTTAATATTAATGTTCAACAGTAACTCTTTCAGTCTCCCAAACTCACGTGTCTTCAAATTTAACCATAATATTAATCTGTATTCGTAATGAACGTACTTAGCACTGTAACCATCTCTGTGACTAATCACCATAATTAACTGCACAGCCACACAGGGCAAAAAGCAGAGCTATTCCAACTGCGATGCTGCTGTTTTTGCCCACTTCTTGCAGTCTGCTCACTTTGCATTCTCACGACCCCAAGAAATGTTTTCCCAGAGGCCCTGGGAGCACAGCAGTCCCACAGCCCTGCGGATGGAGCTCGGGGCTCCAGCAAAGCCGTGCTCGCTGTTATGCATTGCCTGCAGGCAGAAGATGAAGTGCTCCGACCACAGGCAGCGTGTAAGAGAGCCAGGATTGCCATCACCTATTTCAGTTTTCAGGATAAAGGAAGGCCATCAGTCTCCAAACCTGTCACCTCGTTGTTAACTGGTCCAGAGATGAATACTTATTCATCAGGAATATAAATGCTTTCACATAGATTTGAAATTAACAAATTGAAAAGGCTTAGAAAGATGCTATGACTGAAAGCTCCGTGCTGACTGTGGCAAAGCCCTCACTTCCAAATGGGCTGCACCCAAAGCGTTATTCCTAATGCACTACAGAGTGCTGGCAGCCCGATGGTCCTGGTGCTGGGCAGGCAGTGCTGGTAAAGGATCATCTACAAGTGACAATTCAGTGGTTTAACACAGGATTTTCACTTTCTCCATCAATTATTGCAATTACCATCATGCCAGCAAAATGAGTGAAAATTTAACATTTAATTATTAATCATTATTAAATTAATTACCCACAAATTAAAATGGTGAGATGAATTCAGCACCTAAAAAGATTTTTAGACACAGTTTAGGAACTTCCATCCAATAACCCAGAAAGTCCATGACAGTGGCTACCCAAACCTGCAGGCACAGTCACCTGGTCCACGCTGCACCACGCTGTGCCCACGGACACGAGAGGACAAACGTCCCGGTGGAGCAGCGCGCTGCCTCGCTCCAGCCCTGCTCCATATGAAGTGAAGTCATTTGTGTAAACACCAGCACATTCGTTGTTCATACCCAGGCATCTGGTGCTGCCAAATAACCAAACTGGTTTACAGAGCACTCAGGGGACAGGATCCGCACTGCTGACCAGAAGACACACAGAGGAACGAGTGCAGAGAGCCTTGCTGGGCAAACCCAGGGATGTCGGCTGCCCGTCCCTCACTGCCTTCACCACCTCTGCAGCCCCCTGACAGCTGTCTGTCCTTCTGCCACTGCAGTGCCTGCAGGACGGCTGCCTCATGCAGGGCACAGCAGGACGATCCCTTCCCTTGGCAGCCAGGACTGCAGCTGCATGCATTGCCGTGACGCATTCGTATGAAATGGCACAGAGTGAAAGAACCCAAGCAGTGCTCTCTCATGGCTTCTTGGTTGTTCCCTCCCACAGCAACAATTGCCTCTTCTCTGACAACGCATTCCAGGCACTGACACACTTGGGGCACTCAGATTTCTCCAGTCCCCTCGATGCCGTCGCAGGGCCGTACCTCGCTGTGCTGCTAATTGCTCAGGAATGCACAGCCTGTCCTGTTCCAGAGATTAGTTAAAACTTCACCTGGGTGTTCGGATTTTCACTACAGAAGGTAAACTTTTGACACTTGAGGACAGTTTTCCCACTTCCTGGTGTCCCTATGATTCATGGGGGTGTGGGAAGTGCTGCTCACAAGTGTTGGGAGCTCTGATCACAGAATGGTTCCTCTGTGGCCGCAGTGCCTCGTTTGGTACGGCAGCACTGAGCGAAGGCAGCTGCAACCACACTTCTCTTTCCTGTTAGAAAAGGACACGATGCTCCACAATTACAGCTGCTAATTATGTACAAGATGCATAAAGATTTAGAGTGCAATCCTGCACTTTCCATACTTGGATTTATTGTTCAAAGCTTCCTCATGAGCACTACATGTCTGACACGGCGCACTTTCTCCTTCACATTTTGGGGCAAATTTCAACATTTGAAAGCAAACAAAAAATCTGAATTAATCACCACACGCTGTTAGAGGTTTCAGTGCAGTTACAGTGAACGATGGGATGGATTATGACAGCCAGTGTTAACCTCAGAACGGCCACCTGCACAGCTCCAGACACACTGACACAGGCAGCGCTGCTCAGGAGCTGCTGCCATCATCATTACAGCTCTGCATCTCAGCACTGACTCAACAAGGTCTTTATGCAGATGCATATTTTTTAGTATGTGATTAATTCCAGCGTTTTAATTGTACACAGGGAGAATGAAATCTTTCTTACTGAAATTTGCCCTAACGATGACCAAAGCTGCTTTTCCAACTGTGCTGAACAGAATCAAAATCACTTCACAAAAAAAAAAAAAAAAGGAGACAGAGATCATTGTTCTGTGATCTCCATGAGATTTCTGTGTAATTATCCATATCTACTACCTGGCCAGGAACAAAACAATCCCTCCTGTTTCATATCCAGGAAAGTAAAGCAAACAAAAAATGATGATAATAGACAAAAATTGTGGAAATATGTAAATTAATCAAGAAACTAAACTTCTATTCATTTGCTCTCCTGACCCTGGGACTTCTCCTGTTCATACGTTTGATATGAGCAGGGGCATCCATAAGGAAGCACACACAGGTTATTTGCTGTTTTGCAGATTGAGGACGGGAAGATCACCAACGCCAGCATCCTCCTGCAGATCGACAACGCTAACATGGCATCTGAAGACTTCAGGCTCAAGTAAGAACTTCTTTGTTTCCTCATTGTTTGACAGAGGATTAAGCTGGATCTTTCTTCCTGACAATTCAGCAGGACATTGATTTGATGGCAGATTTCTGGTGACAGCAGATAAATGGAACCAATGCGGAACAAAAGTAGTTTAAAAAAAATGATTAAAAAAGGGTGAAGAACGTTCAGATTGCTGAACTCGAGTCACCCTGTTTATGATACTTTGTTCAGGTCCTGAAGAGCAGGTTTTACAGCAGACACTTGATACTGGTGACAAATGGTATTCACACTGTCATCTGAGAGCACCAATTAACTCTTCTCTGCACCATACGCTTCCCTAATCCAGCCCAAATCTACTTCCTGCAGTTATCACCTCTCCCACCCAGCTCTGCAAGAAAGACCTGTCCTTCAGCATCCTCTGCTTTGGATTCTCTGTCCTTCAGCATCCTCTGCTTCCTGTTCTTACTTCTGTCACAGCAATAGGGCCAATGCTTCCCAGGCTCTCAGTGCAGTCTGCTTGATCAGTACACTGCTGAAAGAGTTCTCAGACCATCTAAAAAGCCCAAATGCTTGGACTGAGAGCTTCCAGGCAGGTCTTGGCACAGGAAAGGAGTTCACATTTCTGTTAATCAGACTTCTTGGGAATCATGCAGATATCTGGTCTTACTTTTAACAGATGATGATCAGCTATTTACACATCTCAGCTCTTGGTAATACTGTAACAAACACAAGGACCTGGCACACTGCATGCCTTAGGTCGCCTTGCTTCTCTTTATCATTCAGTAGTGTTGTGAAAAGGCAATAGTGGAACTGCACTGAGGGGCTGGAATGAATAGAGTAAGTCTGAGGGCTGAGCGTACCAACGCCAGCACAGCCCACACAGAGGGGAGGAAAGGGGCAGATTTGGAGGAGCAGAAGTGCTCCAGGTGCCCAAGGGAAGATATAGCAGAGCCCTTCTGACCTTGATTCATAAAGATGTCAAACTGTGAGGGGTCAGAGAGCAGTGTTAGCAACTGGCTTCTTTCCTGTCCTCTGATGGACTGAAAACTGACCGTTTAAAAAAACACAGAAAGCAACAATTGCAAATAATGTTTCTTTGCTACTACTTGTATGAGAGGCTAGAAGCAGCTCTCAGTGAGCGGGCTTTGCTTTCTTTCTCCTGACCAAGGTATGAAGCAGAGAAGACCCGGAGGCAGGGAGTGCAGTGCGATGTTGAGAACCTGCGTAAGGAACTCGATGGCCTCACCATTATTACAACAGATCTGGAAATGGAAATTGAAGGCTTGAGAGAAGAACACATCCTCAGGAGGAAAGACCATGAGGAGGTAAAAAAAAGTTACACCATCACACAAATCTGTGCTACTGTGTAATTAACTTGGAGTAAGATCCATAATCTATAAATGGGATTGATGATTCAGGACCCAGTTACGTTTCTAAAGAAGCCAATGAGAGTCAGATGAAGCATAAGGCTTATGTACAACATTACCAGTCACAATGGGACCTCAGCAAGAATAGCAACTTGCTGTGTTTTCTCCCAGGCTCTTTTCTAGTCACCTACTCTTTTGTCATACATAGCTAACAACTCACATGTTTGACATAAATGTTCTCAGAAATACTTACATACACACACAGAGATGTTGTACACAGGAAACATCACTGGTTGCTGTTCAGTTTGACTGATCACCAAATTTCCCCTCAACTCTGGATATATCACTGCACAGAATCACAGAATCACAGAGATGGAGGTTGGAAGGGACCCCTCGAGGTCAGCTTATCCCCTCCTGTTCCATCAGGCTGCTGAATTCTCAGAGGACCAAAACTGAACACAGTGGTTAATGGAGTCAAGTAAGACTGCTTATTCTTGCAAAATTCTAAGCACAATTAAATAGATAATAATCCGTGTCAGAAAAAATAGTGCTGCTCTGACTTCTTTCAGAGCTATACCACAATAATATCTGTTATTCCCCTTTATATAAAACCACTGTGTGTCAACATGCTGCTTTCATTTTGCTTGAGCTAATGTTGTTTTCAGTTATTACCTAATGCAGTGCCAAACATCCTACTCAGTATCTGTGGATTGCTACAAAGGAGAGTACAAACACGAGGGTTACACAGCAGTAGGTGCAGCTTTCCTTGGCTGGTTCCCTCATAGCATAAACTGACATACACTGAACAGCTATATCAGATCAGTTCTTGGGATGGAGGCAACCAGCAGAGCCATGGCTGTGTCCAGCTGATCTGCATTTCAGAGGCTGTGATGTCATGCCTGCAATGCTGCTTTGCCTGGGCGCTGCTGAAAATGGTACCTAGCACACAGGATTGTGCTACAGCACAGGAATGTGAGCAGACCTGCTCAACTTGTCCTGTAATTATGTTGTTTACAGAGTAATTATATGTTTTAATCCAATTACTCCTTTAACAATTACACAGAACCTTTATATTACTATCCTGTAAACTTAGTTATAGTTCCATAAATATTAACATACCAGGTAAGAAATACGAAATTACTGTTAGATTTTCATGAAAGGTTTTATGTTCTTAACAGATAAGTAAACTAAAAATGTTACTGCTTCAGTGCATACATCTTCCAGAAGCTTTATTTGACAAGATCTTCCGACACGGTTCTCTACTGATTTCTCTCTCACAGCTCTGCCATGGCAGCAGGTATCAGTCCTGGTTTAAGTCATGTCACAGCATTATCCACATAAACCTCCCAAACGGGGGGTGTAGGTGCCAGTTAACCTTACCACAATGAAAAGGAGTATCTGGGGCATTCTGGGAGGACAGAACTGAAGATGAGACAAGTATAGGTATGGAAACTGTTTCCCTTTTCACAGACAAATGTTCTTGTTTCCTCTGCCTGTACCAATAGGACATGGAAGCAAATCGCTCATCACAGGACTTCAAAGTCAATGTGAAAGTAAACGCGCCGCCTCCTGAAGACCTGGCCAAGATTCTGGCAGAAATAAGGGAAGATTATGAAGCCATAATAGAAAAGAATCGTCAGAGCCTTGACAGTTGGTACAAAGAACTGGTAACAGCTCTTTCCTGCTCATTTCAAAGACCCCCATTGCTGCACTGACTGACCAGAACCACTGAACTTTTCTCCTGCCTTTGCTCCACAGAGCACAGCTGTGTCCCTGGCAGCAGCCCCCAATCCAGAACAGATACAGAGCAGTGAGAACGAGATCAAGGACCTAACACGGACCTTACAGTCCCTGGACATCGAGCTGCAGGCGCAGCTGAGTAAGGTATCTATGGCAGACATCTCTGGCTGCCCACTGTTGCATCATAAATTCTTAGGAACCTTCTTGGACCAATTCTCTGCTTAAATTATGCCGAGTGCAATTTTGTTGTAGTTATTGAAGTGAAATTGAAATTTGGGCCATGCTTTGCCAGAATATGCAAAATAGATTCAGCAACCATCAGCAGGATGTGAAAAATGTATATCTCACCTTACAAACAAAATATGGGGAGAAGAAAATACAGGAACACCGTTTTTGAGCATAAGGAATATGGCAGGGCTCAATTACTCATTTTCTGCCATTCATTATGCACACATAACGTCACGATTCTGCTATCTTCACATGAATAATGATTCAAGTGCACGTGTTTAAATGACCACAGTCTAACTTTTCTACTATTCTGATCAGAGACCAAATTTGCTGATATTTCTCTATTACATACTACATCCCTCATAACCGTAGAATTTTACTGTCTGTTCTGTCAGAAACACATGCTGGAGGACACCTTGGCTGACACTCGCCATCACTACGCTGTCGCACTTCAAAACATGCAGCAGATCATCTCCAAATGTGAGGAAGAGCTAAGCCAGCTTCGCCATGACATCAGGCAGCAACACAACCAATACAGGGTTCTGCTCGGGATTAAAACACGCCTGGAGAAGGAAATCTCCACCTACCGCCTGCTGCTGGAAGGGAATGTGGACAGGTAAGGCAAAGCTGCCCCGACTGGAACAGATGAGAAGAGAGTTCCAAGTTCAGCTTATTTGTTTGTTTGTTTACACTCAGTCAAAGTTTGTGAGTCCCATGCTACAGAGGGGTTGATATTTTAATTTGATGGATTGTAATACAAAGCTTGAGCCACTTGGTATGCAGAGAAACATGTATCTTACTTCGGATTATCTAAATTAATATAACAATATATAGATATTTAAATGATTTTTAGATTCTAGGTCAAGGAGAAGCGTGGAGACAAGTGCAGATGTGTGGGTCAGCCATGTGCAGCTACAAATACCAGCAATCAAAACCTCCACCATGTGTCCCTCTGCTGAGCTGCTGTCTTTCCCCATCTGTGTCTTGTCTGAATCTACATTCAGAAATGGCTGCACCTCTCTGCCCTTTGTTCTCCTGTCTTATGTACAGAGTACGCCTAATTTATGCCAAATCAGAACAGGGAAGATGTGTAACCTGCATCAGTGAGAATCTGCAGCATGCAGTGCAGGACAGGTGGCTCCACATTATTTATCACAGCCCAAACCGGGGCTTTTCTCATCTCATACCTGTACAAGGTCTTAGAACCAGTGAGAAGAAGGGGAAGAATAACTTCTTAAAATCAGTATATTCATTATTTTGTCTTTGTTTCATCATCTTTACAGGATAACAAGAAGATGTGAATCAAAAGCTGAAGGTAAAAGTCCTTTATTTTGTTCTCTGTAGTGACTTCTAACTTTGTCATTTCCTATCAAACTTGACTCCATTTTCACCTCACATGGCAGAGCTACAGAAGGGTTACACTGCAGTTGGCTCCTCATGCAGGCCATATTTGAGAATAACTTCTGTGATTCATCAGGCTTGTGAAGGACTGCACTTCACAGCACATTCTGCTGCATCTGCCCTCTCACAGCTGCTCCACACACAGCCCTGCCTGTGAGACATGGCCAAAGCCTGGGCTCGAGACTAAAGCTTTCATGGCAGATGAGGAGGCATAAAGACTCCATGTGGTGACTAAAACAGTCTGAGAGCATGAGAGCAAACAAAATCTGCATGTCTGGAAACTCCTCTTCTGGTATGAGCATGACCTACGGACATGCAGGTGAATCTGCTCTGAAGTCAGATTTGCATTGGCTGTGATGCAGCTTTGCTATTCATTTGCCCTGACCTGGACAAGGCCCAGGGTGACTCTGTCTGTAAATTTCACACAGAGCAGTAATAAGTATTGACTTAAAGGAAAACATGTAAAGATAAATCAGTTGAGGTAGCTGGTAAATTACTGTAAATGAAGTTTCCCCAAAGTCTGGTATAATTAACCTTTCATTTTCTTCCAGAATATGCTGAACTGACCAATGGAAAGATCAAAGCGATTGTGCATGACAGCGTGAATGGGCAGCTGATGTCCTCCACCACCAACCAGATCCACCAGCAAGAGTGAAGGAAAACGTTCTGCTAGCTCCTCTGCTCCTGGTGGGCTGCTGTGCTGCCTCTGCTGGCTCTGCAACTGCCAGCTGTGTGCTGGTCCTCGGTGCGACGCTCCTGCAGCCATCTGCAGCCCAACATTGCAAAGCGCCACGCAGAGCTAGGCAGAGCTGATGCTGTTAAAGAGCTTTTAGTCATCAAAACGCTGGAGCCAAACTATTCAATCAAGATGACTGTCTGGGCTGGTAATGTATGTATTATGCACGCCTCACTGGGGCACGAATCTCCATCTGTGGTTCATTTACTGCTCTGAAAATTAACTATAATTTAAAGTGAATAATCTCTGACTTCTTCTCCTGGTCTCATGTCTCTTACATATACCTCACTGCTGCCAATAAACTCTTTTCCTTTACTCGTACTGGTTATTGGAATTTCTGATTTTGCTTATTCTTAAACATGCCCCTGCCCAAAATGGCAGGGCTACAGAAAGAGGCCAAAGAGCTCCTCACTGATGGAGCAGCATGAAGCTGGAAGGGTGCAGATAGAAAAAGAGGTGGTGCAAGTTACACGTGACATTTATATGCAAAACTGTCAGATTTTCTTCTATACAGCTTCTGGTTGCTGCCATTGAAAGCAGCATTATCAGCAGCGTTGAAAAGTACACTTTACATCCTCAAAACATTTATTTATTCTTCAGTTTTAGAGAAATTTCCTTCAGTTATCTTTACACATTTTCCTTCCAAGACTGTAAGTAATTCCCCATACACTCCCATACATTCTCAGTGACCTATTTAATTCAAAACTCCACTTCAGCAATTTGCTTTCTTATTGATGCTCACTGTTTTGGTTGATGGATCAGGACGGCTGCTGTATGCAGTGCATAGCAAGGTGTGTGCGCAGGAAGGCAGAGACCCGCGCTGCTCAGCCAAACCCAGGCTCCATCCCCTTCCTCAGACCAGCCCAGCCCCAGCTCAGACCCCAGCAGCAACATGAAAGTTTCCAGAGATACACAACACTAAAAGCTAAGCATGAGAAACAGCAGTGTTATTAGGGCAGTAGACAGTGAAACCCGGAAAGCAGAACAAAGAGAGACAAAGTGGAGCACCAAGAGTGTCTGTGGATTTGCATTCCAAAGTCAGCATCTACACATAAAACAGTTTGTTCTGGGCAGTCTCATATTCATGAGTGAAATTGTCACAGTACTCTTTCATATCTCCTCATGACGGATTTTCGTGCAGGATCTTATTACCAGCTTTCCTTTGAAACATGGCTCACAAAAGAAAATTTCAAAGACAATGCAGATCTAAAATAAACCAAGTCCACCTCTACAACACCACGAGTTCTTACCAGCAAGTTACGACCAGTCCATGATCCCCCCCTGCCCCCTCCCCCAACTCTCCACCCTTGTTGCACAAAGATCCCAAAAGCATCGAATGGATTACCTAATGGTTTCTTTAAATTGGGTAAAACTTGTAATACAGGACTGGTAACTCTTGGCTAACTAACAATGTCCTTCCTTACGGCTTACCAGATCCAGCAAGCCAGATCTGGTGTTCATAGCAGCTGGACAAAATGTGCCTGGGTGCTCCTGAACAGTTTCCTGTATTACTTAAAGCTGTACGTATTTATCAAATTCACAAAGCACGTTGGCATTCTTGTGATACAGGTTCTTATTAAAACTTCTAACCAGTCCCAAACTTGTAAGCCAAAGGAGAGGATCTGTTTTGCACTTGTTTTGATTGTGCTAAGCTGTGAAGAAAGAAAACTGAACAGCTGTAGAACGAGCAATAGAGAACAAGCCTGTCCTTCTTTCACACCTTTGCGCAGCACATTGGCTTTGCTGTGCCCAGCGTCCCACGCAGCACGGAGGTGCACTGCTGGTGTCCCTGCACTGCCCTCCTCGTGTCCCTGCACTGCTCTCAGCTCGGCACAGCAGCGCTGAGGTGCAAAGCAGAGCTGCTCCACTCCCCTGCTCACAGCTGTGTCCCTGCCGCAGCGCTCAGCCCAGCACAGCTCCTCACTGACCTCAGTTCAATTTACCAACGTCATCACACATCCATGCTCTAATATATCCATGCCGGCTGCTTTTAATAACTGAATTAAACCAATTAGTCCTTAAACATATACATATTAGTTACACTGTACTCTGCTTGCTAAATGAAAGCAGTTATTCTATGGCAAAAAAAGCTTATTCCTAGGCATTTCTCCTGACTTCAGAATAGGATGTGTCACTGATGATTCCTTTTACTGGGACAGCTAACGATGCTGTGTCACTGGCCTTATGGTACCCTGCATCTGCAGGTCATTCATTATTACTTCTGAAGTTTTGTTCTTTACTCTCAATAACAAATCATGATATTAGCATCTACCACTTCTACATATGGTCAGCATCATATTCTCACAACACACTGAGAAATGAAGTTAGGGAGATAACGGGTGGGAATGGCACAAGCATTCCCTTTCTTACTGCTTAAGAAACTGGTAAAAGAGATCTGCTGAGGGCTGCAAAGAACATCACCAAGAGAGGCCAAACTGGAGTTCATCACTTCACAGCTCCTACTTCCCTCAGCTATCAGGTAAGGCACCTTCAGCAAAGAGCAGCTGCAGCAATCCTCCATCCCAGCCAGCACCCACACAATGCGGGCACTCCGAGTCAGCAGCCCTGCACAGATCACTGCTGTGAGCAACACTGACAGCAGTTTTGCTGATTTTGTAGAATTTGGGAAACTCTAAAAAAGAGATGGGGTTTGTCCTGCTTTCACTGAGACTGAGATCAGTGTCTGGAAGGAAAGGAAATCTTCACAAGTGTGGTACTGTGCTTTATGGCATTATTTTATTGTACTACTGTTTGAACACGCTGTGAGCTGGAATTTATTCCACGTTAGTATTAAACACATACAGAGGTGCTCATTCAGTATCAAAGAAGTGACTGACCCAGGCCCAAGGGAATCTGCAATTTTTCTGATTTGAAAGATCATAAAGAAGAACAGGCTCAAAATGAAGACATTCGATTTCCCACAGATGGAATTGAATGGCAGAAAAACCCCAGCAGGACATAATGTCATTTCTAAGGCTGACTGAGTGATGTAACACTACAGCAAACTGACAAGACTGAGGAACTTTCAGGCTATAAAAGGAGGCTGAAACCACCAGCATTCTCAAATCCCCGCTCGTAGTTTCACCTGCCATTTAAGGAAGTCCTGCACTAAATAATCCTCCAACGTATTTATAACAGACTTGAATGCACTCCAGAATGCATATGAGTCACAGCTCATTTCACTTGTAGAAATGTTAGAACTTATTAAGGTGCATTACAATACACAGCTTTGGTAAGTGAATTGTTGATCCTCTGGAAGAGGTCTGCGATGAGGTAATGCAGTCATGGTTGGTGCCATTAATCACACATTCTTTCTGGTGATGTGGCCACACATTGGCAGCTCTCTTTCTTATTTACAAGCAAGATACTTCTCTTGAATGCAAAATTTTTGCTTTGTACCTGCCTTGTTAAAACAGCTGCAAAATTAAGCTAGTAATTTCAGCAAGAGCAGAAAACAAAATCTAGCATTTACATCACTGCTAAAAACACTGTTTGCATGCTATTACTGAAGCACAGAGAATAGGTGGAAGAGCCAGTAAAACATTTCACAATGTCCACACCCTGACCTATAAAGGTTTCTGCAGTTCTGCTGGGAGATGCCTGCTCCTGCGTATGAATCATGCAGAAGAGGGAAGAATCTATAAATGGGAAAGCAAATGAAGAATGATGCTTGAGAGGTCTGCACCCCCTGCCCCCCACTGCCCAAGCTATTCTGCAATGCATCTTAATTGCTGGCCCCGCATGGGTGTTTGGCTTTGAGAAAGCAGGAAGCATCTGGGCCTGTTTTACTGCACACTGCATCCTCAGAACTCCTGCCTCACTATAATTCTGTTTCTTATCAAGCCGTGTTTTGAAGGTATTTTTATTTGTAGAGCTATACTGAAATGACCTTTTTGAGCCGTACACCTAAGGGTTGGCATAAAGGAGCTGCTCCCAGGATCACACTGAACACAATTCCTCACGTTTGAGTTCTGGACTGTCCTTACGATAGAAGCGTACAGCTGACGAAGGACCAGACGTGACCTGATGGCAGGACAGGAGCACTGCTGCTGCTTCCAGACACGTTAAACTGCCTTTTGAATGTCTGAATATACATCAGAAGCTTAAAGGCATAAAATCACAACATCAGCTGTGGCAAAGGCACTTTCAATAACTATCTAGACTTCAGGGGTAAACCTTCTTTGCTTTGCAACATCCTGAGGACAAGCCAAAGGGATTTAATTTGATAGGCTGTTATTAAGCTCTAATGAAAGCAGTGAAAATGAGGAATACAATTTAATTAGAGAAAACATAATTAATTTAGAGGAATAATTATTTGAAGCAGACAGGGAAAAGAAGAGGAAAGAAACAAGCTGACAAGCGGCTGACAAACCATGCAGGACCTCTGTGGAACAAAGTGTGAAACCTTCAGAGGAAAGTCCGAGCTCCAGCTGAGACCTCCAATGCCTGGATCACACAAACAAGAAACTGCAGCATAAAGGGCTTAAAACAAATAAACAGGAAGGAACTCTTAGCAGTGCAACCACAAAGCAGGGAGCATGCAGTGTTGTTAGAACCAGGCCAAAAACTGGAATGTTAAAGTTATCAGTGCTAGAAAATCACCACCACCACTTCTGTCCTTCCTTCCTACTGAGGCACACTTTCTGACCAATATGTTCCACTGGAAATTACATAGCTACTATGTAAAAACACAACAAAATCAAACAAAGCACACAAATAATAAAAAAATATGTATATTTAATGTCTATATATGTATATTTAATGTCTAAAGTTTAATTCTCTCTAAAGATTAAGGTATTTGAGCTCCAGCAATGAAGACAGGGGCATCAGCTGAATGGATAATGAACGTGTCCGTCATTACAGGAGGTTCAGACACAGAAAATACTCAGAGCTGTTGCTTAACAAGCTCACTGCCACAAACACCACTGAACTCTTTGTAACTACAGCTTGTGGCTGTGAAGATAAATACTGCCTTACACATCTGGCCACAAGAATTATGCAAAAAATTTTTCTTCTGGATATGGGAACAGAAAAGTGGGCAATACGTGAAATTTTGTTATGTAATTGTCACGAAGCACGTTCAGGTTCCAGCACCGACTTGCTAGCTGCAGCAAGCAATACAGACTCGCACAGGCAGCTCCTCTCAGAAGGCCTATGGTGGCCCCTAGTGACACACAGCTCCATCTGCACGACATTTCTGCATGAAGGTGAGACTGAGACTCAGCACAGCAGCCTGCCCTGTGCCCTGGTAGCTGTGCCTCCCCTGAGGCTCAGAGAGCCAGCTGGAGCTGGGACTGTGTGAGGGATTGTGTGCTGGGCACTGCCAGGACCCCAAGGCCTGCTGTTTTGTAAGAGCTAGGGGAAAATTCTACATAAATGTCATTGCGTGCAGTGCAGTGTTTGTACCTATCTGTTACAGCGTGCTATCAGTGTGCATATATTTGCACAGGGTCATGGAAATTGTGTTTGCTTCCTGAACAATACACACGTTGGCAGGAGGTCCTGCACAGTCCAAGATCCTATGGGCCCTTCCAGCTCAGGGTATTCTGGGATGCCACTGTTCCGTATCACATCTTCCTGTGAGTATTGAGATGTCCCAGCTTTGTGCTAGCTTTAAGCTGCTTCATGTGACTGCTTACAAACCTCATTTCCACACGCAGAGATGTTCAGCAAACACTGCTATTGGTTGCTCTCGCATCAAGGAGAATATTCTGCAGCTTGCTGATTTCCTCATCCGCTGCCCCTCAGCTGCTCATGGTTCCCACAAGGGAAAAATTCCTGCTAGCAGTTTCTTACATTACGTTAAAGCTGACACTTGCAATACTTTCAAGGGGAAAAAAAAAAAAAAAAGAGTGCTCATTTGTGTGGCCTGGGGCTGTGTTTTCCTTGGCACTGACTTTGGATCTACTTGAGGACAGTGGCCTAGACAGGACAGGCAGCTCCCAGCTCCCATCTGCAGTCAGTGGCTGGGGAAGGATGCATCCAACACGCTGTCCTACTCACCACTGCAAATCTGCAGCACTTCCTCAAGTACTGTACAATTTAACATCATGTTTAAATCTGCCTCTGATCAAAAACTCACTGCAGAAAACAATAAGGTGGAGTGCTTCGACTAGTAGAACATTTTCACTGGACAAAAGGTAAAAAGGAGAGGGAAATGAGGAAAAAAATGCATATGTGAGGCAGCCACTGTAAGATCTTGCGCTGCAGATGTTCAGGGATTAAGGAAGGCAGTTAATTAGCGACCTCATCTGTCTCTCTTCTTCTCTGATTTGGTTGCAGTGTTTTTGTAGCCCAGACAAGCACTTCTCACTTGTTCTGAGAAAAACCCTCTGTTCTCAGAGAAGTCAGCAGGGACAAGAGCTAGAAAGCTCCATCCTTTCTGCCTTCCCGTGAACCCAGCCGGGCTGCTCCCACTTAGTGGCTCTCAGATAAAAGAGACCAACACGGAACAGGTCCCAGTGCCAGGTGCAAAGGAGGAGCTTTTCTTGCAGACTGCAGGGTTGTTGTGTCCTGGGAAATCCTGCTTCCCAGATGGAACCAATGAGCCTGGATCACAGTTTGCAAAATACAAAATATCTCTGTTTACTGTTTGCATTCAAACAGGGTGCAGCATTAACAAATGGTGCAAACACTGTTTGCTTTCAGGGTGGAGAACTGTCCTAAGTATCCTTTTTCACTCTTCCAGAAAAATCTGCTTTCAGAAGCTGCCATTGGCTCGTACCCACACAGCAGCACAGTGCCCTGACGCTCACCCTGCTGCTCTCTTGGTTCTAAACCAGACGTGTGGCACAAACGAGGCCACGTCTTCTCACAGGGAGGTTATGAAGAGAAGGGGGGAATTTTTCAAACACAGCAATATGGATTTTGGCTGGAATACAGCTGAAATACTGAACATAGAACTCCTCTTCCTTGAATGTACTTCACACAGCAGAAGCCTTTTCACAACTGCATTGGAAAAGACATGGAATCAAATTCTTATGACACAAAACCTGAACTGAACCCGACCATGCGGTCACGGGGACTAATAAACAGGCACTGGATTTCACCATTAAAGCAGATCATCACTAAAGCCTGAACTAAAAAACCTTTTCAGTTAAACCTTTAATTCAGCCAAAGGAAAGCTGTGCTCCAGCTACAGGCTGCTCAAACCCAGCGCCAAAGCTGGGTGTGTCTTTTTTCCTGGAACTCCCATGCCTGGTTACCTCTGGCTGCTTAGTGACTAACGCTAATGGCATGCACACGCTATCAAAACCTCGTATGGGTTATCTTCATAGCTCGGTGTCCGTCACAAAGGTGACAGTCGTCCAGGAAATCAAACAACTTGCTGGCGTTGCTATGAACAGTTATTGTGACTGCACACAAACCTTCAGACTGACATCTGCATAAAATCTGACAAAGCCGAATGTCTACTAAAAGCAGGTCGTCGGAGAATACTGTAAGAGATACAGGCAGTGAAACACATGGCCAGAAGATGTAACTGTAGCAGGATCTTGGCTGTGCTCTTCTCATGGCTTTAAAGATGTAAACTCTGCCCTACTAATGGAAATGATTCCTATTCAGTGCAGATAGAACAGACCCACCCTGAGTGTCTATAGCAACAGGCCAATTGACCTGGCTGGTGTACTTTGACTGGACCTGCCATAAATGTTTTTCAGACACATACTTTTCAGCTACACCCAAAGCTCAAGGTCCAACGACAGTTCAGACAGCTGAATGTACACTTTGCATCTTCATAAAAAGGAGCTCTGCCCTGAATGCTGCTCATTTTACTTTGGAAGACGCATATTTCCAGAACAGCTGGACTCTGCCTTGCTCCAGCACCAGTCAGCAGACTATTCATAGCACTGTAACTTAACTGACCAGAACTGGTCCCATAGAATCCCACGCTCAGTTCTCAGAACCTGAGGATGCTTCCAAGATACAGCGCAGTGCCTGTCACCAATTTCCTTGTCCCCAGATTGAAGACCAGTATGTACGGCAGCTCTTTGTCACTAAAATAAACAATACATGTAAACTGTTCTACCTGACTCGCTATACATTATTAATACACTGAAGTACACTAAATGCAGTGCCCCAAGGAACTACCCCTGCTTTGTCCTGCTGCACACCTGCTGCTGCTTTTGTGCAATGCTAGTAACTCCCTCAGCTATCAGCTTCTTCACTCACTTTCCACGTATCTCAGCGTTTCACATCTCAGAAGTACATACATTGCAGCTGGAGGAACCACTCAAAACACAGCTGCTTGGGTTTCTTTGTGTGCTGAACAGAGGCAGCTGATTTCCTGTCAGTGGCAGAGCAGCCAGCAGCGGAACTGGCCAGAGGGCACAACGTGCTGAGCACATTGCCAGGGCTCTGCTCTGCTTTCCCTTCAGCCACGCAGGAGGCCTTGGAGCACCTAGCTGTGCTGGAAGCTTGATCTCAGCACTATCACTCTATGGACATCAGCATCTCACTTGTAAAATAAAGTGAGCAATCAAGGTGGTTCCAGTATCCTTATGGCTTTGCCTACTCACAAAGCAATACACTTTCTGAGTCATCTCAACTGCACTGCAGCCCAGTTCAACTTCTGAGGGCTTTCTTCCACTGAACAGCGTACAGTCAATGCAAGCAAACTACGCCAGTAATTTTCATGCCAAGATGACTGTTTTGTGCCCACTATAGAATGAGTTAAGCAGTAGCTACAAATGCCATCTTTCTAATCATTTCGAGACTTTTGTACATCATCCTCAGGCCCAGGCAATGGCTCACACAACAGCAATATGTTCTTGATTGAGATATAAATATTTAAAGTCTCCTGTCACATACAGTCAACTCATTTTAATTTCATAACCTGCACACGGGGTTTGTTTGACAATGGCTGTATAGAGATAGGCTGCTATAAATGATTCAGCAGCTCGTTTGTGTTTTATCTTTTATTCAAAATAAAAACGAAGAAAACCAAATTTCCTGAGGAGTTTTTTCAAAGGCAGATGAAGAGATTAAAAACCCTTTGCACTACAGAGTGCGGGGACAATGTCCTGCATGTTATTTGCACTGACACCAATTACAGTATGCGTCAAGAGAGGTGGGGTTTACAACCACCGTGTTTCCTCTTCGACAGACAATATAAAGCTTTACAGAACACACACCGCACTTCGCTCCAGCTGCTCGCCGTCGTAGAGTCAGCCGCCCCATCTCAGCAGAAGCACGATGTCATTCTCCACGCAAAGCTTCCAGCTGGGCACAGCTGCCCGCCTGCAGGGCATGGCGCCCGGCAGCAGCGCTCTGTCGGTCAGGAACGTGGCCGTGCAGCGCATCCAGGCGCCCAGCGTCTATGGCGGGGCGGGCGGTTATGGCACCCGCATCTCCAGCAGCTCCGTCCGCAGGCAGAGCTCCAGCGGTGCCTTCCACTCCAACATTTCTGATAACGACCTGCTGCTGTCTGGCAATGAGAAATCAACCATGCAAAATCTAAACGACCGTTTGGCCGCCTATCTGGAGAGGGTGCGCTCTCTGGAGAAAGCAAACTCCCTGCTTGAAAAGCAGATCAAGGAATGGCATGAGAAGAATACAGGGGGCATAAGGAGTGACTACAGCTCGTACTTTCAAACAATCGAGGATCTCCAAAACAAGGTAAGATCTCATACAGCCATCTATAAAAACATGAACTGCAAGATAATAATCTGCTGTGGAAGAGATGCTGTTTGAAGTTGGAACTGTCTCACCTGGGAACAGGAAATGCTTAATTCTGGCCTGATACAAATTAGTGACAGACTTTCTAATGTTTAAGACTCACTCGGTGTCCTTTGCGAGTTCTACTACCACTGCTTCATCCCTTTCCAACCATTCCTTTTTAGATCAGTGCTGCACAGATGGAAAATGCAAAGCTTGTCCTGCAGATTGACAATGCCAAGCTGGCTGCTGATGATTTCAGACTGAAGTAAGTTCCGTGCATTGCCTGCACTCCTTCATGCTCCAGTTACTCAGGATAACAACTAGTTATTAGTATCAAGGCTGAGAAGTAAACCACAAAGCTCAGTAAAAATAAATATTTCAGGATTTGGGATGTAGAAGTTATTGATTTGATATTTCTGTCAAACGGCTGCACTTCAATGATGACAAAAGAAGCCTTGTTTTACAGGTATGAAAACGAGTTATTGCTCAGGCAAAGTGTTGAGAGTGACATCAATGGGCTGCTGAGAGTCCTTGACGACCTGACTTTAACTAAATCAGACTTGGAGTCACAGATTGAAAACGTGAATGAAGAAATAGTTTTTCTTAAGAAGAACCACGAGGAGGTGAGAGCAGCAAAACTGTCATCTGTTTGTTTGTTTGTTTTCTGTCAGGGACACCTAAGAATTAAGAGTTAGCTCTGTTTCTGTAACTGTGAACTTCCGCCCAACATTTAGGCCTGAATGTTCACTTCAGCTGATGCTAATGCAGTGCTCAATGTTGTAGGAGATTGACAGACTGCACAAACAAGTGGGCGGCTCAGTTAACGTAGAGGTGGATGCTGCTCCAGGTGCTGATCTTTCAAGTATTATGGAAAACATGAGACGGCAGTATGAAGAAATGGCAGAAAAGAACCGCCAGGAAGCCAAAGAGCGATTCGAAAAGCAAGTAAGGTCAATTGCTTGAACATCAGCAAGAGCCGCTGTCGTGTTTGGTCACAGCTTACAGTCCTTCCATTTTCATATTTCAGACAGAAGCGCTGAACCAGGAAGTAGCAATCAATGTAGAACAGCTGCAAGAACAAAGGAGAGAGGTCACAGATCGGAGACAGATCTGCCAGAGTCTGGATCTGGAATTACAGACCAATCTGAACATGGTGAGCAATAAACAGTTCTTGAAATAGGGCCCGTGTTTAGAAGATGGTTATGGAGATAAATACAGAAACTGAGACATTTTTCAAAATGTAATTTTAAGGACAAAATGTATCCTCTTGAATGATAAATCTCTGTTCTTTTCACCAATTGTAGAAGAAGTCTTTGGAAGACACTCTGGCTGAAACTGAAGCACGTTACAGTTTTCAGTTGGCTCAAATACAGGAAACAATTGCCAGGTTAGAGAATCAGCTGAGGCAGCTGCGGGCCGACATGGAGGCACAGAACGCGGAGTACAGCATCCTGCTGGACATCAAGACTCGCCTGGAGCTGGAGATTGCCACGTACCGACGTCTGCTGGAAGGAGAGGACGTTGGGTGAGGAAAGGGGCTCCGGCAGCCTCGCACCACTGACAGCAGTGCAAATGCTCTCTAAATTCTCAGACAGTAACAGTGGTAAAATCTGTCTTATGGCAACTGGTTTTTGAAGGAAAAAATCTGCCTGTTGCCCAGCTCTCAGTTGCAGGCTCCAAGGCTGCAGTCTGTGCTCCTTCGGAGGCTGCTGCAGTGTTCAGATCAGTCTGTGCCAGCCTCTGCACGGGTACATGCTGTTACTCTTTTGAGCTGAGCAGCCTGATAGCCGCCCACACTCATTAATAAAAGTGATGCGGCTTTAGATCAACTTTTCCATAAGTATAGTGACAGAAACCCAGGGCACAGTTTTTTAAACTGCTTTAGGCAGCACGAGTACCTGCCCACATTAGAGCAAGGCACTCAGTGAGCACACACTGACCTCCTCTTGCAGTCTATGACAAGTTCTGGAGCCTGTGCAGGATTCTGTTCTGCTGTACTTCTGCCACCAGCAGCTGAGCTACTTAAATACGTAGGAGGTGCAAATGAGCTGACACTTATTGTCTGGATAGTCCAGCATCCCCTGCTCAGCAGTGCACAGAGGTTTGTGGAAGAGCACAGAGCAGCACAAGCAGAGAGTAGTGCTTCCCCCGAAGGTCTCCCCATGCAGCAATTCTGCCTCAGGAACCAGGCTGGGCAAATCCTCAGGAGCTGAAGTTGTAACAGTGCAGAAATCAGCCTGCAGGTTAATTTCACCTATAGCTAATGCTTAATGAAATTTACTTTAGTACTGAAAACTCATCCAAACACATGACATGGGTTTAACTAACATCTTGATGAAAGGAAATTTACGTGTTTTGATCAAAGGTGCAGAAAACATACCAGGTTGTTTCTTCACTTTGTCACGCACAATTTACTTACATTTTTCTGTTTACAATCTGAACAGGTTTGTCCAAGAGGAGGCACTTACAAATGAACTTGAAAAAGGTATGTTGCACAAGCCGTGTATTTTTGATGGCTTCTTGTTTAAATGTTATGGACTTAAGCAGCCTGATTTTAAAAAGTGCAGTTTCAGAGCAAATAAACAACCAGTGAACTCTTAAAACGAGAAAGCAATCAACTGTATGGATAGGGAACCTCCAGGGATTACACAAGCCCTGCTTTATGTATGTAACCTAGGTGCCAAAGGTAAAACCACGGACTTCTCAAAGGGCCAGGTGAGTGGCAAGGTTATGGAATTCCTTTCTGAAGGTTTTCAGAGGCATTTGCTTCTCTCCACTGACCGCACAGGGAGACCAGGCTCCTAAATGAAGTGCACACACTTTTTAACAGCAAAAAAATCCCTGTCTGTGTAAGCAAGTTCCTAGTTTTCAAGTTTGCAAATTTGTGATCTGAAGCAAAAACATAATGATGAACAGTTATTTAACACAATGCCCAGAATAGTATTATGGGTAACATACAGAATATTAGAAGGAAGATAAACCATATCTTGTATCTTCCAAAAGCTTACTTCCTAGTAACTGTGCATTGAAAAGATGCTTTTGTCTATTTTCTCATTAGTGAAATTGCTGCCAGTAGTACAGTAATATTATTCTGTCAGTACACACTCCATTTTTATTAATTTACTGTTCAATTTCATTACCAGAATCAAGTAAAATTAAAAAGATCAAGACAATTGTCGAAGAGGTGATTGATGGCAAAGTCGTGTCCTCTCAGGTTAAGGAGATTGAGGAGAAGATGTGAGCAGCGCCGGCGGAGGGGAGAGCACCAAAAAGGCACCATTAAACTTCATAAAGAAACCAAAGCAAGGGTTGAAAAATGCCAAATTATCCAATCTCAGACAATTAGTTTTTCATCTTTGTGTGTGTGTGTGTTTGTTAATAAAATCATTTTTTGCCTTACACAGCAGAACATCTAGAGTAGATTTATATTCGAAAAAGCATTACAAAGTTGATTCGGTGCATCTGTTCTGAAATTGAAATATCACTGCAGTGCATTGGAGACTCACTTCAATAAACGTGATTTTCAAATAAGAAGAAACATCAATTGTGATTTCATAATAAATTAAAATGCAAAACCGAAGAAGCCTTCTCATTAATTGTCATTCTCTGGGAATTTCTGTATTGCCAAAGATATCTGATAACCAATAATACAACCTGCCCATCAGATCTGAACTGAAGAGTACCACGTCTGTCAGGCCCTCCTCAGTCACTGCTGCACAAACCTGCTGAGCCCTCCAGCCCAAGGAGTCGGCGCTTCCTCCTCACATAAACACACAGCTCTTCCTTTTGAAATCTCACCTGTCCACTGCATTATTTACTGTTCATAAACAGCTGCCAAGGGAAATAAATCTTTGCTTTCTTAACCTGAGTCACTGATATCAGGCTATCAATTCATTTCTACATAAATGCTTCACTTAAACTTTTGATCTACTGCTCTTAATACAGTTTGCCATCCCCCACCCACCCCAAAAACCACACCTATGCTCCTGGGTGTACATTAATTAAAGAGGAGTAAATTTCGGTTGACAAATCCAGTGATATAATTAAGCCAGGCCAAGGAAAATCAATTTTTTGTCTTTCAAAATAACTTAGAAATAAAACTATATTGATTTTGAAGAGCTTCCAGCTCAAAGCTTCTAACCTTCTAGAGCTACGTTTGATCTTCTAAGTTCTTATTTAACACCCAGAGAACACCGATCTGCCAGAGGTTTGTACCAGAAAAGTGTTGTGAATAGAAACACATTTTTGACACGCATGCTGGGAAGTATAACATGAAAGGGATCATTCTACTTACTTAAGCATAATTCTATAAAAATAGCCCCAAACCAAGAAAGCAATGAATATATAATGACAAAAAAATTATTTAAGATGGATTTAAATGTGAAAAGAAATTTGCGCTCTATTGCACATGGCAAAACATTATCATGATGTCTTAGCTCTACTCCACCCATCTCTCCTCATACAGCAAACACCTGCAGGGTGCTAGATTTCCACTCCCATGGGCAATTTAGATTTGCACGTATCATTTAGTTTGGTCTGGATTTCCTAAACTACTTTTCTCCTCCCTAAATTCGAAAGAGAGGGAGAGAAAGAATTCAGGGCTTTGTTTGAGGCGGGGTTAGGGTTAGGGTGCTGCACACCACGACAGCCCCTATATAAAGGGATCGCGGTTCCCCGATCTGCCCTGCTCCGCGCCGTGCCTGGCCGAACAGCCCAGCTCCGTGCAGCACCATGGCCCTCTCTGTGCGCAGCAGTGTGGGATCCCGGCAGTTCTCCTCTCGGAGCGGCCTTGGCGGGGGATCTCTCAGGATGTCCGGCAGTAGCACTGGAGGCGGCTTTGGCGGCAGCGGCCTTGGGTTTGGCGCTGGATCCGCCGGAGGGTTCGGTGCTGCTTCTATGCTCGGCTCTGGCTTCAGCGGGGGCTTTGGGAGCAGCGCAGGCAGCGGCTTTGGCGGAGGCTTTGTTAGTGGCTCAGGAGGCGGCTATGGAAGCGGCTCAGGCAGTGGTTTTGGTGGAGGTTTAGGAAGCGGATTTGGGAGCGGTTCAGGCGTCGCTTTTGGAGGCGGCTTTGGCAGCGGCGCAGCTGCTGGTTTTGGAGGTGGATTTGGCGTTGGTGGTGGTGGGGATGGCGGCCTTCTTTCTGGTTCTAAGAAAGAAACGATGCAGAACCTCAATGACCGCCTGGCCGCTTATCTGGACAAAGTGCGATCCCTGGAGGATGCCAATACGGAGCTGGAGCGCAAAATCCGAGAGTGGTATGAGAAAAATGGGCCTGGAGCTGCGGTTCCGGGATCTGGGAATGACTACAGTAAATACTACCCAATAATTGAAGATCTTCGAAACAAGGTAGCAAAGCTATGTACTTAATGCATCTCTGTGTTTGCAATTCATTGCATCACAATTGGAGAAAAATAACAAATTCCTTTCAGAAACCAAGAGCAAACGTACATGATGGGTGCTTGTAATCATCCTGCACTGCAATCTTGTGTAGAATTTTTCATGTATAATTAATTGCACTTCTGTAGCTTTGTCACACAATGCTGTGAAGTGACTTAGTTTAATTTGAATAAGGAAGCAAGCAGTAGAGTCCAGCTGTGCAAACTCTTGTTCAAATGTTCACATTTTAGAAAGTTTCATATTTTTAAAATCATAAATTCAATTCATAAATTACACAGACTTCCTGGCAAATTCTTCAGAGATTATGAACTATACAAGGCAAACTAGTGTTCTTCCGCTAAGTGAAACAAGACAACTTGCAGAGGCTGGAAATCTGTCCTATATACGTTCATAGTTATTTATGCAATTGTCTAAGAAGCTACTTTTATTACAGTCACATTTAGAATAAGAGTTGTGCAAGAAGCTATGCTGAGCTGCACAGCCATTGGGCTGTAAAATCATTCTCCAGTCGGTGCTTGTGTTCCAGATCATCAATGCGACTATCGACAATGCAAGAATCATTCTGCAGATTGATAATGCCAGACTGGCTGCTGATGACTTCAGACTGAAGTAAGTATCCCTCAATATTGCAAAACCTCTCCCTGGTACTCGAGGGGAAATGTTCTTAGTACTCACAGATCTCTTTCATTGAAGAATATGTTAACAGAAATACTACGAGAATTTTGTGCATTAAGATTTCATAGCAAAAGCTGTACAAGTAGAGTAACAGTGCGCTTTTGACTTTTGACCACATTATCCACATTAAAGGTATATTTAATTACTTATTTTTCAGATATGAGAATGAAGTGGCCCTTCGTCAGAGTGTGGAGGCTGACATCAACGGTCTGCGCAGAGTTCTGGATGAGCTGACCTTGACAAGAGCCGATTTGGAGATGCAGATTGAAAGCTTGAATGAAGAACTGGCTTATCTCAAGAAGAATCATGAAGAGGTATATGTTTTTTCTTTATATACTCATAAAATGGCAGATGGAAGTTGAAACATCCAATTATTCCCTTAGTTATGCAAGTGGCAGATCCTTGGTTTCATGTCATTGTTTCGTTTGCTCACTGTTCTTTTCTGAGCTTGCTAAGGAGATAGGCACTGAGCCACGTGTTCTGCTGATGCAGCATTCCCCATTGCCTCGCTTTGGCTGTGCAGTGTTTCCCCACACGTGCTCAGAGCCGACCCAGAAAGCTGCTCTTCTTTAAGCTCCTGCTTTACCACAACCCAACCTTTCCCTTTCTCCTCTCGCCAAACCAACTCAGAAGCTCAGGTTATATTCTTTAATCTGGCTACACAATACCACCACAGCACTTACTGTGTTGCAGAAGATGCCTCCTGCTGCCATCCTAACACAATATTCCAATATTCTTCTTGTCATCATGTTGATGGAGATTTTTAAGTAATACAAAAATATGTAAAAAAATTGAAAGTAAGAATTTATAACATAAACAGATTTTTAAATAAAATAAATATCTACACTTACTTCAGCCAGACGGGGATTAAACAGTTCCCTTACAGTGAAAGCTGCTACAAAAATGTGCCAATTAAAACCATAAAGGAAATGGGAGCCAACTCAGATGCTTATTGCAGTCTTTTCAGGCATCATCTGTACTGATGGCGTAGAGTGCAGGTTAAAGAATGACTCTACCTACCATAATAGTTTCAAAATGAATCAGAAAGTTAAATATCAAATCCATGAGACAAATGGAAATGACAGGCAAGATCTGTGCTCATATTTCAACATATTTTATATTCTTCAAAGAAGAGACAGAACGTAGTTAGGAAGGGTTCCCATGGAAAAAGAACTTATATCACACATTTCTCTGCATACATTGCTGGGACAAGTATTTTGCCTTTTATTAAGATAATTTGTACTTCAAATCTTTCCAGGAGCTCCAGGGTCTCCAGAGCAGTGCAGTTGGCCAAGTCAGCGTTGAAATGGATGCAGCCCCAGGAATTGACCTCACCAAGCTTCTGAATGACATGAGGGGGCAGTACGAAGTCATTGCTGAGCAAAACCGTAAAGAGGCTGAAGCGTGGTTCAATGAAAAAGTAACAATCTCACTGAAGGAAAATTCGGCCCAACGCGTGTAAATGTAAGTGCCCAGAACAGAGAAATTACACTCTTCCTCCTTGCCATTTCAGAGTGGGGAGCTGAAAAGGGAGATCTCCACCAACACTGAGCAGCTTCAGTCAGGAAAAAGCGAGATCACTGATCTGAAACGAACTCTTCAGAACTTGGAAATTGAGCTACAATCTCAGCTTGCCATGGTATGTGGAAAGGAAACTGCTAATTAGACAGAGAACCTTCTCCAATTTACCAGCTCTTTTTAGATCTTATACTTTTCTACAGGATCAAAGATTTGCATGTATTTCCTATTAAATCGTGCATTCTTTTAGTTCTTAAATAGCAGTCATATATACACGACTGAATTGCAAGTAGCATATTATAAAGCAAGCAAACTTTCATGTCCACATTCAGTGAAGTAGCAAAAGCTAATTAACAAACCAGGATTTCAAGAAAAAAACAAATACTCTGAACAATGAGGCTACACTTACTCCCATTAAACTGATTCTGTTGGTTTTGTATTTGTAAGGAATCCTTCTTCCTCAGTCAGCTATTACTCAGTATCTTTCCTACACAGAAAAAATCCCTTGAAGACACATTAGCAGAAACAGAAGGAGGTTACTGCGCTCAGCTTTCACAAATCCAGCTTCAGATTGGGAACCTGGAGTCTCAGCTGCTGCAGGTCAGGGCTGACATGGAGCGCCAGAGCGCAGAGTATCAGCAGCTTCTCGACATCAAGTCTCGCCTGGAAATGGAGATCGAAACCTACCGCCGCCTGCTGGACGGCGAGTTTGTGTAAGGAAAAAGAGTCTATACAGTATCTTCTTTGTTTTATTTTCAGTAACAATATCCTCTCCAGGAAAAGAGTTATAAACAAGTGCTGCACTCACCAAAAGACAAGTAAGGCAGATGGACAGATTCTGAATAATTGGCTCTTCTTCACCAACATCATGAATTCTACACAGCATTTAATGAATCTATGAATGCCAACATGAAGAGGAGATAATACAAACTCTCTGAACATGACAAACACTGCAGCACTGCATGTCTCTGCTTCATTTTTAGGGGTGGCGGGCAGGGAGTTGTATTTGAAAGCTCATCTTTGACGGGGCCGAAGTCACAAACGCAATCACTGGATTCTTCTCAGGGTAGGCAGAACTCAACCAAATAAAGCTTTGCTATAATAGTCCTTGATCATTAAAATTCAGGTAAATATTGATGTGTGCCCAAACACAGATGTTTTACATAACCAGCATAACTATCAGATACAGAACTATTAAGTACTTATTCAGAATTATTTCCAAAGTTTTAAAGTAAAATGATGCATGCCATTCTGTTTAATTACATCACAGTTCTTCGGAACAAGTAACTAATCTCCTAGGAAAAGGGACTCAGCTGTCCATGTAAGGTATGGTAACAACTGGATCAATATTTGCTTTGTGTCCTTTGTGATGCTCAGATCCCACCAAAACCAGAAAGATCAAGACGATCGTTGAAGAAGTGGTGGATGGAAAAGTTGTTGCATCGCACGTGAAGGAAGTTGAAGAGAAGATATAAGGAACAACCTGAGGTCGCAAAGGATCCATTCTTTCCATGTTTCTTCCCAAGCAAGAGTATAAATAAGTTTGTTCTTTTGAATGAAGTAAAAAAAATAGATTGGCTTTTTGCTAAGATTCTTTGATAGAAGCAGAACATTCTTTTTCATTCTTAGCAGCCATGCAATACACTTTCCACTTCAGTCCATTGGTATTACCTGCATTATTTTCATGGTGTTCTTTAAGTCTATCATCAATTCTTTGTTCAGTTACTAGAAATATTGTGCACACATTCAATCAAATATGCTTTTCTATATTTCTGAGTTAATAGAATTAATAGATAATACATTTTTGCCGTTTTAACCAAGTTTTCCAAATTTCTTGACTAATAAAAGAGAACTCAGCAAGCTTTAAGATATTAATCTCCTTTCATTCTGCGCGTCACCACCGAAGACTGTAACTCCTGAGCCATATATTCCATTCTGTTGGTATTTTCCTTTACCATATATTATATCCACAGTATTGTGCTCCCCCCATAGAGGCATTAATCCAATGTTAGAACACAAAAATGATTTAAAAAAAACTGTTTAAACTTGGGATTAGAGGAATAGTGGATACAAAAAAATAAAAAATACATAAAGCTATCAATTTACAGCCATATAGAGGACAAAGAGAGAAGTTTCTGCCAACAGTACAGAGGCTGCCACGGTAGGGGAGAAGGGCTGCACTGACTTCTAAGCATGCCACAAACCCGGAGAGATGTTCCAGAGTGCCACCTGGTGGAAGCATCATTTTCCATTTTGAAACCTACCTTGGACTGACTTCTGGTCATCCGGTGATGAACTGTTCAAAACAATCTGTCATTTAGAACAAAATTAAGAACCAATATACAACCCCCCTACAACCTACACTTCCATATTTGCACATGAGTCAAAATGTTGACCACTTTTGTGTGATTCTCAGATTAGAGAACATGCTGCGACCTCTTGTAAGTATTCCATTGTGCATCCAGAATACAAATGTTCCACGCATTCTGTCACGTCCCTTCAACATTTGACCCAAACTCAAAGTCTAATGGCAGCACAGATTTTATGCTGTGCTTCTGTTTCACACTCTGCAAACCCAACTATGAGCATTGCTTCAGCTTCCTGCTTGGAACAAGCAAAAGCCAGGGTAATAAAAACAATCAAAGAATGAAATCAGTACAGCAAAACCACAATGTCTGAAACCCAAGCAGCTACATAAAAGTCACCGTGATAAATGCCACAAAGATATTAATTAGAAGATTGTTATATACACGTCAGTATGAAGAGGTAAAAATTGGGAACACATGATAAATAGCATCTCCATTTTGAAGAGAAAAATATGTTTCTTTCATATTCCTCTTCCAAAGATTTCGTATTTTCCATACAACTGTACATGAAGAAATATGAAACAATACATCGTGTCAAGGAATGCAGCTGTGATTCATTGGGAATTCAGAAATTTTTAGATTTCAGACACATTTTTGTACTATTGCAGATTTTTACTGAGTAATCACGCATTTACCTACATGCATATTAATCCTGAACTTAATATTATGATCTAAAAGATAAAGTAGAATCACTTATGATTACTAGAAATCACTCCATTTATGATCTGTCTTGTCACCAATGGTGAACCAAAAGAGTCTGCAATCACAGTAACATTAGCACAGAATCCAAAGAATTGACAACTGATATTTAGAATACAAAAATCCAACATCTGCAATAAAATATGAGAACTGAAAGTTGCTAGGATCCAAAATGACACAAAACCTAGTGAAAATAAGGTAGCTTAAACCTACCTGAGAGTTGCAGCAAGGTCATAGCCAGATGTTCCCCTTACACCTGGAAAAAGAGAAGGAAAAACAAAACACTGTTGCTCATTTATTTTTTAAAAGTTTTCAGAAATGTGATCAACATTTCAGCTCTTGGCACTTTTTGATGCATTACATTTGGTTTGTTGGGAGCAAGTCCAACACCCCTGCAGACCTCTGCACTGTACTTCAAACAGAAACATTTCTGAGCAGCAGACAGCCCTGACTGCCTGGTGGAAGCAGAAGACATTCTGAGCCCCAGGGAACTGCAGTGCAGCTGCAAAGAACTGCTACTGTGATGAAAAATTTAAAAAAAAAGAAAAGAAAATAAAAGAAAATTATACATTATTTGCTTGGAGACATGGGTTCTTCCTTTCTTGTTTATACTCTCCTAAGCTAAAAAAATCTTATGTCTGGTTCATGGACATGGATCAGTGAAAAAACTGACAATATTTGTTTTCAGAACTAAGTAAAAGTAGAGTGTTTAAGACAGCTGCAGAAAAAACAGTGGACAACAAAACATTCTCATTCCTGCCCGGGTCAGCTGGAGAACAACCAGCTCAGAAAAATCAAAGCACTACATGGGATTCTTTCACGTGTGCCAGCAGACAGAGTCAGGAACAAGGAAGCCTTATGCACACAAGGGGACTTTGAAGTGGAACAAGGCTTTGACTTCTTCAAAGGAGCATCTTGTAAAATTACTGCCTTTTCCCCTCGTTTTACTGATGTATGCTAGAGTCTAAAATACATTGCTTTGTGGGTTCATTTTCTTACTGAAATCAGAATTTTTACTAAATATCCCATACTGCACATTACTGAAAAAAACTTCAGAAAGTTAAGGGAAGTTCTTACCATACACGATCATTGAGGTTATTCAGCAGTCAAAACAGGCCAGAAAACAGAATGTTTTGTAGAAAGCAGGACAGACTGCCTTTACTTTCCACCCTCCAAGTAGCAATGGGGAAAGTTAAGCCTTGTATCTCCTAACCTCACACACTTTGAGGTTATAAAAAACCCTAACTTAAGGCATAACAGAAACATTAAGACATTGTATGCATTCCCTTCCACACATAAGCTGGGCATCCTGGTTTCAGCCGCTGCTGGAGCACAGACGTTGGCTTAGCGGACACCTGCAGGACGGACATCAAGCCGCGGCTCCACTCCGTGCCCAGAACCGAAGCTCTGCGGCTTTAAGAGCCGCCGATGCTCTGCCTCCTCCCGCCGCAGGCTCTGCAGAGCCCCCCCACCCCCAGCGAGGCCGGGCACCAAAGGGGAGCATGGGAGGGGGATGGAAGCGGCCCGGCTGCTCGGGGGCAGCGGGGCAAAGTATGAAACGCCCGACACCAGAAATCAGATAAGGAGCGCCGTCTCAGCAAGGACCCAGGTAATGACTTCATGCAGACAGACACCTTCCAGAGGAAGGAGACAGCCCTTGTCTATGCAGCTCCTCCCTCAGCCTCTACGAGGTACAGTATTTTCTTTTCCATGCAGCATATTACGGGGGACGGGATTTTGATTTTACTGCAGTAAGATTTGGACTGGAAGATAAAAGGTTTTGTTTACGGCATGCAATGCACACTAATGGAGGCTGTGCAGCCCGTGCTCTGTACCTGCACAGTGGCACTGCTGGGCTGCACAGCCATACGAGCTGCACCACGGCAGCACCGGCACCTCTCCGTTACCCCACAGCTAATGAGTCTCGAAAATCAAAGGCGATGTAAAGGAGCCATTTATCTGAAGAAAGCCTTACAGCTTTTAGCACCTATATTAAAGAAACCCGTACCTTTTCAGGGCCTCTTTCCTAATGCACACAGTAAAACTGCCATACTTTTCAGCAAATATAATTTGTTCTTCCATACAGATTCATTACATGTTACCAATGTGCAGTGCTGCTGGTTTAGATTTATATACAAAACATCTCTGAAACCTAAAAACCTTGAAATAAAACAGCAAACCAAGTTACTGACATCAAATGCCAAGAGACTCAATCTGCAAATCAGACGCGCTGTCACCCAGTAGTGCTGCAGAAGAGGGACTGCAGGCGTTCTGAGCTCTGTGTTGAAGCACTGCTCACAGTGCTGCTGCAGTGCCTGCTGGAGCCCCATTCCAGGCCCACAGCTGAGCATGGCACAAAGCAGCCCAGAAGTACTACAACAGCTGTGTGACAGCAACTCTGCAGGGACGAGCAGGGAGCATGGAGTGTGCCCTTACAGAACAGCCAGCTCCAGGGTTTCACCAAAATGATGGTGTGATGATGATCATTGCAGTAGGTTAGTATACTGTAGGGTGGGGGCAAACCTTGCTTTATTTGCTTTGTAACATCTGACCTTAAAGAGTTTATTTCCATCATGAGCTCCGCAGATGAACTGTCACATTTCACATGGCTGTCAGCACACATTCAGCACGCCAACTTTTCCTTCACATTCTATGCAAATCTTAATTAACCTGTTCTTAAAGGACAAGAAGTTGTAGATTTGGACAGAGATGCTATTCAGGTAATGCATGGAGGTGCTTGCCTTCAAATAGCAATCTGCTCAGGCAAGAACATAATGACAGCTATTATCAACTGTAACATATTCATGCGTCCCTTTCTATAAAGCTGTTCTTAGAAACGAATTAAAAAAATACATTACAATTAAAGACCATTTCTACTGCAGTTCCCCTGCCTGCATGAAGCCAAGCCTGTGTGCTCAGGAGTTGGATGTGGGCTAAATACAACCATTTGGTTTGTACTGGAATTCCTCTGCAAGAAATGTTAGGGCTGTAGACAGCCAACTACTCCCCATGCACAGCAGGATAAGGACTCCCTCATTACACAGTACATAAAATGTTAACTCGTCACTGTTAGCTCCAACAAATATATGGGAATCTAAAAAAAATCCTAATAAGAGATCTTTGTGTGTCTGTTTTGTTTATTTTTATATAAATATTTTTATATTATCTGTTTCTTTATTCCCTGCAGCAAGAAGCAGCTCCAATTAAGAGAATGGACAAAGATGCAGAAGCGTTGCAGGCAGCCAGAGCAGAACTGAGCGAGGCCCGGCGGCAGTGGCACCACATGCAGAGCGAGATTGAATCCCTGCATGCTGTGGTAAGCACCACAGAACAGCAGCCAGCTCTGGGGAAAATAACACAGGGCTGTGTGCTTTTATCCTCTCTTAAATGATTACAGGTTTTACTGGAAAATATCTCAGCCTTAAAAAAGTCTGTACTATTGTTTTTAAGTAATATTCTTAGAGGACTCGATATAAAAACACAGTCTGACTGTTAATGAAAAGTATGTACAGCATCTTCACAGACACTTTTCAAATCCTAAAAGGAGTTAAATTCAACAGGAAAAGGGTTTGGAGCGCTCGCTGCGTGTCACAGAGCAGCAGTACCACATGCAGCTACAGAACTTAGAGGCGGAGATTGAATGCTTGGAGAAAGACCTGCAGGAAGTGAGGAGAGGCATTGAGAAACAGCTGCGAGAGCACGAAATTCTCCTGAACACCAGGATGAAACTGGAGGAGGAGATAGCAACGTACCGCAGCCTGCTGGAGCAAGAAGAGAACAGGTACCTGCTGACTGAAGCACTCACATTATCTTCCTCTTCAGAACTCCCCAATGAAATAACCATCCGAATTGTAAATACAAGAACCGATCAGTAAAAAAATGATTTTATAAAATCCTTACAAGCGTTTTCATTGTACTCAGCTTTACCAATTCCACACTTTATGGATGTCAGACTTCTCTGCAGTACACTGCAGGTAATAACGAGCTGCCTGCACCCTCACTGGAGGCACTGCTATCAGTGCAGGTCTGTGTGGCATCAGCTGCTCGACAACACAAGACAAGTCCACGTGTGTGACGTGCTGGGAGAGGAGCTCCCATGGGATCACATGGAGGATCCCTCTGCATGAGGCTCATATCACTCAGCACAACCTGAAACAAGTGTCAGTCACACATCTGGGGCTCTGCACACCAGCACGCTGTCTAACAATGTCTGATGGTGACGCTTTGCATTAGCTGCTCATTGTGTCTGCCCTCCCCAGCACACTGAACAGCAGCACTTTCAAACGTAGAACTGCGAGAGGCAGCTACAGCTATGTCAGCAACAGAGGATAAGGAAATGCAGAGCATCACTTCCACTGGTACCCAAACAAAACAGGGCTCAGAAAGCTTTCAGCAGATCACTGCCTCCCTCAGCCACTCCCTCAGATGACGCAGGGCCTTCATCCAGCAACCTCACACATCTGAATAAGAAGATTCCACACAAGGGAGTCAGATTTGGTGCTTCTAACTCTGTGAAAATACACTCAACACGGTATTAATAAATACCTCTACCTGGCACACAATAACCTGTTAAAAATATTGACAAAATTAAACAGATATTTTCAGTAACTTTCTTTAGTTTTACATTCAGAACAAGAAATCCCAATAGTTACTACAGTCAAACAGAAATTCTCACACTCCTCCTATTTTTCAATTGCCCATAGCTTGTAAAACAAGTGATGGATTAAAGTAATTCAGTACTACGAGGTGCTGGTGAAGCTGTTTATTTTTGCAGGTACTGCTGCTCCACACCCGAGCAGAAGGGCAGGAAGCCCAACCTCAACACGACCACCTTCACACTGCCTGCAGGTGGGTGCTCTCACTGCTCCCTGGGACTCATGGCCTCCACAGAGCTTCATAGCTGGGGTGTGTGCCACCACCACCCATCTACCTGCATGGCACCTTGCATTTTCTTTTATAGATGGTGTAAAGAAGCACGAAACTGAGAAGATGGAGTTGATGACAAAACAAGCAGTCCTAGAAGGAAATATTATGAAGCAAAGTGCTGAAGCTCATGGCACTATAAAGTAAGATAAGCATAAATTTAAGAAAATATTTAAATGTGAATCTTGGGCATTACAACTCACTCTCTGATTTTTCCTTTCTTTGGTATCCACACAGCTAGGAAGCTCCAGAGTAGCAATGGTAGTTCAAGATAGATTGAATGATGTATTTTAACAATAAATGAAAATTAAAGATCTTTTGATTAGCATTTACTGCCTGAGCTAGCAATATCATGATGCTGCTTCTAATTGCAATTTCTGTCAAGAATGAAACTATTAATAATACATTTAGTTAAGGCTGAAAGTAAAGGAGCCCATACCATGTCTGCAAAGTCCCTCTGGGGCGTTTTTATGCGCATAAATTCAGGCCTGGCTGCTTGACTTGTATTGGGAAACCCCTCTGTTTTGCTGATTACTACAGAGGGAAGGAGAGCCTGGCTGCTCAGGGGGCATCTGAGGGTTGGAATGTTTTATTCATCTTTATTGACTTTGCTGGTGTTGCATCGCCTCTTTTTCCTCTTTCCTGCCACTCTTCAGGTTTTCTGTAGTCTGGCATTGAACAAAACATTTGGAATAAACTGTGCTGTTCCACACAATGCTAATACTTAGCTGTAATCAATCTGCTTAAAACGTGATGCCACCTTAGGGGCTGCCATACACAGCCCTCATTTGAAGCTCAGAACCTAAATGTTCTATAGTTCTGTAGTTCAAATGTGAACTACATTTTTCTCTTCCATGTTCTAAAAGCTTTGTGGCACAGCTCAGTCATACAGACTCCTAACTTATACTGCAGGCTGAATTCTAAACTTTCTCCTTGGAAACAAACTATCTGTGTTCAGAGCAATGGTTTCATATCCAAGTCTAGTTAAAAGTGTACAAACAAAACCACGCTGAAATGCCACCTTGACTTGGCTTTCCAGAAGGAAGCTGTTAAAAATTAAATAAATAAACAAACAAATAAATAAGAACTCTGGTTACTCAGTATAACATTTTAAAAGCAGTCCTGAAGGTATGTGTTACACAGTGCCTAAAGGATCAAAACACATTTGCTTTATTGTTCCAGGACAGAAAAAGTGGATGAAGTCATTAAGCAATGGGAAGGCTCTTTCTTCAAGGACAACCCGCGCTTAAGGAAGAAATCCGTTTCGCTGCGCTTTGACCTGCACCTGGCAGCAGCTGAGGAAGGATGCAAACCCAGCCAGCAGAAAGCCCTGCCAGCCATCGAGGTCAGGCTGGTGATGAGGCGCTCATGCAGCATTCCCTCCATCCAACCATAGCGCTCAGCACAGCAGGCCAGAACCTCCTGCCACTGCTACGGAACCACGCCTGGACCTGCACACAGCACGACGTACGTGTGTCTTCAACGAGGGAGAAGAGCAGGAGAGTCAGATCCCAGGAAGCCTGACTGCTACCAGTTTTATACTCTGGGTACAGACCATCATTCTCTCATTACTGTTGTTTTGTAGTACTTCTCCAAACATTAAAAGAATTAAACTGTAACTTTATACTTCGGCAAGAGAACTCTGGGAATGAGAGCCACATATTTCATTCTCTTCTTCAATACTCCATATGCATATTGGTTGATGAACCCTTGGAATGATTTCTATCATAATTGTCATACTTGATATATATTTTAAAACACTTTCTAATAGAAAAAAAAAAAAGTGACGTGCAACAATGCTCTTAAAACACATAAGGTATTAACCAACAATTTTCTTTTAAAAGTGAATAGTATTTTTAAGTCCTTTTTAGGCAGCAACCGAGCAAAAATGTCTCTCCCCTATAACTATGGACACATTTCTCAGCAGTGCCATTACAAACAGATAACACTGAGCTGTATGGTTCTGCTGCTTCTGAAGCAGGGATTCCCACTGAAAATCAGTCACTCTCTTTGTTGTCCACATGCATCTGCAAAACGACTCCCAACCATATTGAGAATCATATCCTCTAACTGTTCAAATTTAAGGAGTCAAGCATCCATTTTTAATACTGATATTTAATTCATTTTGTGAGTAGTTGCAATGTGAATTTAAATACCTTCAACAGATTCCTCTTCTGACAAATCCTGTAGGTAGAACAGGCCCCTGATCCAGCACACAGCAGATCACTGAGCTGCCAGGTCACGGCCACTGGCTTCAGTGGGACGGACAAAGTAAGGGCTGCGTATGCTGAGTCAGACCCTGCCACACACATTAAGTGCCCCTGAGGCACCACGTAGTGCAGTGGGCACATACACAGCAGGGCTGGTAGTCCTGCACCTGTACACGGACAGAAACCAGAAATGGAACTCCAACGTGCTTTATGAGACCACGGGACAAACTTCAAAAGAAACAGAGTAAGGACGTTTGTTACAAGGATTTAAAGAGGTAACTCTTAAAATCAGAAACTCCTGCTGGGATCACTGGAACTATGGGGGCTCAAAACGAGAAAACACACAGACAGAATCTGCGGGATCCAAAGCAGCGGGAAACAACTGACTGCAGTGTCAGTGAGTGCCATATGACTTAAGGCATGTGTTACAGGATTGGTACCACAAAGTCCTCCACCGTTCAGTTATGCTTCTGTCTTTTATCAGTGGCAAGAACAATGCAATGTTTACGTCGCCCACGTCTCTATCTACTATATAAAGCTGGCTAATTATCATTAACCTTAAAACTGATCTGGTGTTGTTAATACCTGAGTAGTTGGCATCCTGAATGTAACAGCCTCTCCTGACTATGCAGCTTTTTTTTGTGTTATACTCTATATTTTACAATACTTGAATTTAAACTAAGTTTTAATTGCTTTAAGGCACTTTAAACAGGGATACAAACTTACCAAAGTAAATAGCAGTACAACAATAAAAATAATAAAATGCAGTTTGCCCATGTCTGCTTTGTGAGCTTCAGTGTGTCTGTCTTGAGAGGGTCTGGGTGGCAGACAACACAAACTAAAGCCATAGGTAAGAAAATCCGCAGCACTGCATCCGAGCACTTTGCAAAGCTCTCTGCAGTGTAACTCCAACTCCCCGAGGACCTCTACCAACACGTGGAAGATGTGTGTCCTCCTACTAGAAAATCTGCTGCTAATTCCAACCAACCTGACAAGGTCTCTGCATGAGTGCCACACAAGGAGCAGATGATGGCATCTGGCTTACAAAGCGATGATCTAAAAGATAAGCTGGCTGGCGAAGGTAAAGAGCAAATAAACACGTACAGAAACTTGGTTGAACACATATACCTTACAGCTCCTCTCACGCAGGCAGAGCTTGCACAGGCACATCGCCATTAACATACACACGGAAGCCCTGGCAGCTCCACAGTAACCAAAAATGGAATAACTTTACTCAGAGACATATTTTTTCTTTGGCCAGTGAGCACCCGGCTCATTCTTGGACCCCCAGTACTCAGTATTTGGGGTTTCTCTTCCTCAGTCTAACTCCAAATGTCTTCCCTTGTGACACAAAGCTCAGCAGCACAGTACAGAGCACAGACCCGGCCTTAATCTTGCAGTAGTATCTAAACATTATTTTAGAATATTGATATTATTGTGCATCTACATTAGTCACTCTCATGTGGGAAGCTTAAGCAACCAGAAAAAATGTTGCCCTTAATTGTGCACATTACATCATCCACACACCTGACCTCACCATTTCTGAAGCCATCTTAGTACAGCAGCAGCAGCACAAACACATCCTGAGCTACCCTGCAGTGAGAGCTGTAATCCATCCACACAGCTGTAACACTCAGCTCAACAGCCCCTAAAACACACAGCTTCTGACTGAAGCTGGAAACCAGCCGTACTAACTCAGCTGTACGGTTTTATGACCATGAAACCTGAGGCTAAAAGAAAAAAAAGAAAAACACTGCAGCACACAGTAATAGCTGGGTTACTACAGCCCTGCAGGCAGCCCACCCTTCTCTGATCAAAGGGCTGACTGCCTGACACAGAATTCCTCAGCCGTATCAAGAACTGCTGCTACTCTCAAACCAATTCAAGTATGCACCCTGGTTTTAACTGCATTTTCACCCCCTACAGAACCTCTGCAAGTATCTTTTAAGTTACCTACAAAATTGCTCTTTTCAAATTTGAAGAGCTTCCTTTGTTTGTTCATAAACTACCCAAACCTCCACAGGTGTCAGTGTGAACTACAGGAGGGTGTGCATGGGCACAAGAAGAACTCACAGCAACATCACACCCTGAGCACACATCAGCACCAGGCTGAATCCAAACCAACAGCGCTGCAGATGGACCTCACTGCTGGGCTGAGCACCACAGCTCCTTACCTGCAAACACCTGGTAGAAGAATTAGCTTCCTTGTCTCTAATGAATATATGTCCTTGTTACAAACCTTAAAAAACTGTTGCTAATTGAAACAGTTGGATAAGAAGGCAAACATTTAGAGCTCCTGACCTAAATGATCCAGTACAAACAAACGTTTTACACCAGTAAGAGTACATATGCCATGCAGTAAGCTGAAAATTGAATACAGGCAAAATTTATCACTGCCCAACAGAAATTTAAAAAAAAAAATTGAAAAAAAACACCAAATAATAATAATTAAAAAAACAAGTAAACCAAATAAAACAATAAATTGCTGACCTTGGAAACATATACAATGATTCCGAATTATTAGCATGGAACTGCATTGAACATTCCAGTAACTTGTGTAAATTTAATGCAACATCGAGCATAATGCATGGAGTCAAATCCAAGACAAAACGGGGCTATTTTTCACTTCTGTAAGTATTTCCTTATCTTTACCTTACAAACTTGGGTTCTGCCCAAGTGAAGCTGGCAGACCAAAAGGCTGCAGATTTGGCTGTTGGAGGATCCTTTCAATTGTCATATTCTTTCTGTTGAACGAAAGTCAGATGATTCTGCTGTAATACCACAAATCTCCAAAAGCGCACGGTGAGCAGCGGGGGCAGAGCTCATCTCTTTATGTCCATGTAAGTGTGCTTGCTTAAGAAGAAAAACAAAGCAGGCCAGGCTGTAGGCACCAAGAAGAGCTGGTCCACTGCAGCACCTCGGCCAGTTTGTTCTTCTCCCCTTTGGGTTATATAGGCATCGTTTGTTTGTTTAAAAAACCCTATTTCTGGTGTCTTTCCAAGGGCAGCCACGGTTTGTTTCTCCTCGTTCACCAGGCCCACACAGCCGTGCATTACAGAGACAGGGATCTTTATTTTTCAGCCACAGGACAGTTTTCCAGTCCCCAACCTTCATTCCACCTGCAGTCCCGCGGTGTAACCGATCCCCGCGCAGCGCACGGCGCCGCGCCTCCACCTCGGGGCCCTTCGCAGCACCGCCGCCGTTCGGCCCTTCTGGTGGCCACAGCCGCCATTCTGTCACCACATCGAGCAGAGCTGTTCTAGGCGGCCGACAGTTCCCCGGGCAGCCCCGCAGCCCTTATTTCGCCCCTTTACAGGATTTTGTACGGGACTTTGTACGGGATTTTGTACGGGATTTACTCGGGCCGGACGCGCGGCGCCGCCGCCTCAGCAGAAAAAGGCGCGAAATGGCCGCGAGGCACCAGCAGGCGCTGCGCGACGCCGCCCTGCGCCGCAGATTCGCTACCGGGGAACGCGGCCGCATCTCTGTGGAAAGTGCTGAAAAGAACGTGGAAGCGCACGGCTCCCCCCCGCCCCGCGCCCTGGCTGTGCTGGCTGAGGGCACGCGAGGCTGCGGCCGCAGAGCAGAGCGGAGCGGTTCGTCCCGCCCGCGCCTCCCTCGCCCATCCCGGTCTCGGCGGGGTGAGGCAGCGCTCCCCGCAGATTCGCCACAACACCTTCCGCTCCCCTTCCTCTCTCAGCGGGGCGCGGGGCAGCCCTCAACCCGGCGGCGGCTCCGAGGTGATCGGGGCGGACGGACCGGCCCCCCGTCATCCGAACACCCGCGGGCAGGAGGAGGGCGGCGGCCGTGGCGAAAGTGCGGAGCGGAGCGCAGCGCGCAGGCGCGTTGCTCGCCGCCGGCTCGGCCCGGGGAGGAACAAAGGGAGCGCGGCGGCGGCGGAGCGGTGAGTGGCGGGGCGCGGGGCGGGCGGGGAGCTCTCGGCGCTGTGTCGCGGGGCGGCTCTCGGCTCTTTGCGCCGGGCCGAAGGGGCTCAGATGGGCGCTGCCCGCGCGGCGGCTCCGCTCACGGCCTCCTCCCGGCGGTGCGGCCCTCGCGGCCGGCGGAGCGGCGTTTGCGGGTCCGTGCGGGGCTCCGCGCTGGGGGCCGGCCGGCGGGCGGCGCCGAGTGGCGGCGGAACTTGGCGGAGTTCCTGGAGGAGAAGGGCCGGGCAGCGGGAACGGGCTGCCGAAGGGCTCCGTGCGGGCGGCGCTCGGCGTGACGTGAAATGGCTCCCGGGGCGCCGGGCGCGCACACGAAGTCCCGACCGTGAGCGCCGCACAGCCGCGCGTTTCGTGCCGCGGCCCGTTAATTCCGCCCGTGGGAAGCGCGGCCGTTGTGGGAGGGAGCGCCTTTGTTTCCAGAAGGTCTTTTGTTTTCGGAACTGGCGAGCTTTTGGTAATTGTGATGAATGGACGGGTGGTCGAAGCATCGCAGGCTGGGGAAGGTAAAGGCGTAATGCTTAATGGGGTGGTGTTCTTTTGTCTTTCAGAAACACAAATATAATGTCAGGTGGCTGAAAATTTGCCTATCAAAATGTCAAGTAAGTTTTCAGACTTTTCTTCCTTTGGTGAATGACAGATCTGGTTCAGCAGGCTCTGAGGCAGTGCCCGTAGTCCTCGTGCACAGAGCAGCAGTGCTGTATCCACAGTGCTCCATGCTGTCTGACTGCCGTGCTGTCGGCTCTCCCTGCAGCTTGGCTCTGCACGCAGCTGTTTCTGACGCCTGCTTGGAGGTCTCAGGCATTGCTGCAGTCCAAGCATTTGGTCTCACGGCAGATCTGACTGTCAGCTTCTGCTAAGCCCTGCTTTGTTCCTTACCCTCATCTCATATTACTTAATCTGCCAAAATAAAAGACCAGCAATGTAGCAATGATGTGTTTTTTGGGTTTTTTTTAAGTTTCTTCTGTCCTTCGCTGTATGTTCTCATCAAAATGTTTGCCACAGAGGATGCCTTTTAAAGAACTCATTCAAAATTTCAAGGATTTTCTTTGCTTACGTTTATATTTTAACAGAAAGGCCATCTTATGCTCCACCTCCTACCCCAGCTCCTGCAACCGTAAGTACAGTGATTTTTCTCATTAACACAGATCCCTGGTAGCAGAGCTCTTAGTGACTTACTAGAGCCATAACGGCGGAGATGCAGCACCTTCCTATGTTGGAAAAACACACTTGTTGAATTTCATTCATAATATGATATGCACTGTTTAAAGTCATCTCAATTTCAAAACAGTTTGTGAAAAAGAAGCTGAATAAACTGGTTTCATCTTAAATGAAGCATCTCCAGGATCTGGCCTTTTTATCAGCAGTCACTGGAATTACTCACCTGTGTGGCCATTAAATTCATGCAGACAGTGCTGCCCATTGCTCTGAAATGGTATTTGCAGTATTTGCAATGGAATACTGGAATATTTAGGAACAAGTTGATACACTTAATTCTCAAACTCCGCGCTCAATCTGTACACAAATAATGAGCAAAAACAGGATGCATTTTTGTGCTTCTGACACGTTTTCAGTGGAATGCAATTGTCTGTTGTATTTGGTCAGAAAAAGGAAACACTCACTGATGGTAATCTTACTCAGATGTCATAAAAATACTGATATTTTGGGGTCCACTGCATGATAAATATCATAATTTATAGTAAAATAGTATGAAATGCTGGTTAGGAAAACAGGAAAACGATGTCCAGTTGTAGTCGTGCATGTATAAAAGCATCCTGAAGTATTCATGTGCTGTGGTTGGAAAAGCACCTGAAAGCAAACGCAGCTCTTGTTTTGGAAGCAGTACACTCATGGGGAGAAATGTTAATGTGTGGAATGAAAGAATGAGTGAAGATGCTATGTTGGAATGCTTTTGGAATCTGTTACCCAGGAGCTGTCATCCCTGATCTCCGCATCGGGGATGGGAAGTGCAGATGCAGTCAGGTGAAATGCAGTGCTTTCACTTCACTGTGCTGTACTTCACATCAGAAGAGGCCCAAAAGTGATTGCAATGTGTGAAGTACAAGTTAAGCTTAAATAAGGAAAAAGAAAGAAATCATTGTGTCTCGCATTGCTTGTTCAGTTTTCATTTTGCACACAACTTGATAGATTTGTGCTGTAAGGGTACGTGCCATCACACTCTTCCTTACGAGTGAATCCCTGCATCAGGAGCTGTGCTTGTGGTTTTCCTGGAGCGCAGTGTGGGCACAGGCACTGCTGAAGGATGGATACAGAGGCCATGCATCCTTTAGTCAAGCTATGAATTCATCAGCAGTGTACACAAAGCCAGGTTCACGTTTGCTAACAGTGATGTGCATTGCCTGTCTTTCCAACACCTTTTGTATTAACTTAAATCACTTGCAGTCCTTGAGATAGTCAGCGCTCTGTGAAGAGCTGCAGAGGAGCACCTTGTTTACCCCTCCTGGGCCGGATCCTGAGCTCAGCGGAGTGTCACCAGCTCTCACTGACTGCAGTACTGCATCTGAAGTAACAGGTGGTGTGTAATGCAGGGTGGTTACCTTGTAGCACGTAACTCCTGCTGATTTCTTCCTCTGCAATGGAGGTTAGCTGTCCTCTGATTTTAAGGAAGATGTTACGGTAATGCTGTCATATAGTAAAATGGCATCATATTACACAGCAAATGTCTGTGTCATCATCAGAGGTATAAAAACTGAGTCAATGTCAGCTGCTGCAATTGAGCTTAAGTTCGGCAATGGAATATATGAAGGCTGGTTTTTAAAGGGTACTTTTGTAGTATTTGTTCAGAAATAAACCAACTACAGCATGTGCACCTATAGTTGAAAACCTTGCAAGTCAATATAGTTTAGCTTACAGGTTCTGTTTGTTCTCTGTTTGCATCTGTCACACCTTGGATTCTTGAACTTAATCATAGAGCTTTTGTAGCCATAATGTAGAGTGGGAACCGTGAGCACATTGCCTTAAAGGGCTGCTGAGATGGGCCTTACCAAAGTGGCACTCAAGTGTGAGACAGTGCAGGTAATGTGTGAACCTGGCGTGGTGCTGCAGGGAGTGCTGGTGCCCTGGATGGGAGCAGCACTCCATCACCATTACATGCCTGGTCTGCTTTATTTCCAACACCATTTGTATTCTGGATAAAGAAAAGAGTGCAGTTGAAGTGCAGGAGTGGGGATTCAGAAGAAAAAGGGGAGACAGTGAACCTTCTGATGTTTGATTACAGTCCCCACTTACCCACCATCTGCGTGCACAGAAATTAGATTTTCTCAGCATTACAGGAGGTGCGAACAAATTGATCCACCTACAAGAAGGGGTGAAGATGTGTTTGATTAACTGCTGAAACCGTCTCTGATTCAGTCGTGGCCTAGGACTAGTTTGTGGTTTCTAACCTGCAGATTGCATTGCAGCACTTCTTCAGCTCC